AGCCTCAGCCAGAAACTGCCCATTGGGAGACACAGATTCTCCTATATCCTTAATTCCTAGCAAACGTGCACGTCAAATATTTACATTATAACCAGAGGCTAAAGGACTGCAAGGCCAGTGTGCTATGTGGCTATTGTAGCCACAGGCCACATTCAAAGTTTGGAGGGTTATTACTCTCTTGGAATGCTGGGAGGCCATGAAGGAGGAGTTGCTTGTCTCAACCACACAGACATTGGGAATGGAAGCATCCCCAGGGCCTGTCTACACTGCCCACGGACCTTTTAAATTGTCAAGAGCACAGTCAGCTCAGCAAATGATCATGGGGTTATCAGGACCTAAACTGGAGGACCAGAGATCCTGCCTGGATGGTCAGAGGCCAAAGACAGTCTTGAGACCTAACTGCCTACTGCTATTGTTTGGCTGGGACAAAGGATCCAGCTGGTGCCAGGAGGGCACCACCAGCCCACAAGAGGACTGTACATGGGGGCGGTAGGCCACTGTAGCCAGTCATATATAAGTCCGTATGTGTCTACTGAGTGCCCATGCGGGTCAGGGCCATGCTGAAACCTGGGGCTGCCCAGGCAGAGGAGGGCCAGTGGCACCCTTCCCAGGTGAGAGGGTAGAAGAACCTTGTATAACCTCTAAGGCTTTCCACACCCTTGACTGCAGTTGAGTTGGATCTGAAACAGTCAGTGACCAGGCAGACATCTCACACTTCTCCTGTTAGGACTGAGGGGCTGAAGACCAATGCTCCAACTCAGTATCTGATGCCCATGTGACCCTGGGTGAGTCCTGCCCAGCCAGGAGGGCCAGAGAGATGGGGAGAGGGTGGAGAAAGCCAGTGACAGAAAGCCCTGACCCTCATCTCCAGCCTGGCCCTGACCCTAACCCATAAACCATAAAATCCTAATCCTAAATCTTAACATTTTGTTTACACATTCACCACATAATGGACATTTGCATAGTTTCTGCATTTTGGCTTTTGTTAACATTGCTAGGGGTTAGGGGTTCCAGGTTCAGGGCTTGGGTTTGGATTTGGGCTTCAGGGTTCAGGTTCAGGGTTGGCATTAGGGGTTTCGGTTTGCAGTTCAAAATTCATGGCTAGAGCTTTAGATTGGGGTTTGGGCTCAGGGTTCAGGATTCCGGTTAAGGGTTAGGGTAAAGGTTAGAGGTTACAAATTTTCTTCGGTTTGTCATCACAGATAAAAAATTTCCTCCCAAAGTCTAAATCTGAAATCTATTTACTCTGGGTGCCATGAACAGGTTCGGAATTAGGGTCCCAGTAACTCCTACCGAAAGTGTCCTGATGCTCTCCTGCCAGGCGCACAGAGGCCACCTCTTCCCTCACACACACACCTGTCGCAGAGCGGGGTGAGCCGATGCTAAACCCGGGATCACTGTGTGACTCATGGAGGTGTGGAACCAAAACCAGGAGTCGTGGAATATGAAACAGGAGACAGATAATTCATGGACCCTATTCTTCCACAATAACAAAGACCAAGTTGAGCTCCCAAAGAATCTGATAATGTTTCTCAGGAAGGACTATGGTACTATTGATGAAAAATGAAGAAACCCTTTTAAAATTTTTTAAAAAGAAAGAACGAGTTTTATTTGAGCCCAAGTTAGGACAGCTGCTGAGCATATACAATCTTCACAAAGAAGAGTGTGCTGGGCAGGGGGAGGAATAGTTGGTGTGGGGTCACATGTTTTTTATATAGTTACAAATCATCATGACCAAGCACATTCCAGACAGTTTTGCCTTTATCTTATGTTTTTAGTATATGCCAGATTGTGTGACTTTAATTTTATGGAAACCAGGGAAGTTTCTCTTTCTTATCTTGTGCTCAGAATGCTCCTTTTTGGTTTTTTGTTTGTTTTGTTTGTCTGATGAAGCAGATGTACCATGTGCGCTCAGGGCAGAAATAGAGCCGATGCTTTGAAGTTCCACTAAGTCATTTCGACCCTGGTAAATGTGAAAGTGTAGCTTCTCTGGTAGTCCAAGAACAAGGCCCACAAACATTTAAAAGGAAAACTTCCTTTATCATTAATCACTACTTGTACCAAAAGAGGGTCGCCTCCCCCCCTCCCCCCTGCTTCGCCTTAAACTAAGAATCACAGGAGGATACTTATTTTGTTGTCAAAAATAAAATTTTATTGGGCACCTGGGTGGCTCAGCTGGTTAAGCAACTGCCTTCAGCTTAGGTCATGATCCTGGACTCCCAGGATCAACCCCATATCGTGCTCTCAGCTCTGTGGGGAGTCTGACCGTCTCCCCTCTCACGCTCTCATGCTCTCTCTCTCTCTCTCTCGCTCAAATAAAGAACGAAAAAAGAAAACTTAAAATAAAATAAAATTTTATTAATAATAATTAGATGCCAGTATACAGTTTGTGGGGGTGTCACCAACATTTTCAATATGCAAATACATACAATGCAGGTAATGCTGTAACACAGCGCTCACTGGAGTACCAACTACAAGGAGGGCTAAGAGAAGTAATAAAAATATATTTACCCTTACACTCAACAAAAGCACGTTTATGGGCATTTTATGAGGACACCTACCCGTAAGACCTAACATCTCACCATAAGGAATTCATCCATCAGAATCATCAAGGACAACAGCCTGCCGCCCTCTGTAACCGCCCACCATTTACCTATAGGCTTGTGATACACACTCCAGTCACCAGAGACACACTTCTCAGCAACAGAACAGGACTGACCCACTCCAGGGAACCAATTCTTACAGGTACAGGATCTTACAATCCTGCTCCTTGGAAATTCCAGCCGCTAGAACAAAGTCACAGAAACCACGCCCCAACTTCATAAAAAAGACCGGCATCTCACCAGCCAGATGCCGCAGACCACCACCCCCCTCACGAGGCAACTCCACAGCGGCCCCCAAATCTGTCCTGTTCCCAGGGCTACAGGGGGCACCACATTCTTCCAGTACTCCATCCTTGGAACAAGACTTTTTATTATTCTCGTCAGTCCTGTGCGCAGGCTCACGTGAGCCCTACGAAAGCCAGCACTGTCTTGAGAGCACTCAGCCTCTCACGCCTACCCTAGCAGGCCCTCTCCCTCACCCCTCCACCGACTACGAAACACCTGGAACAAGTCTGGCCATACCCCACCCACGGGGGTATTTCACACACAGTGAAATGACACTGACTCCTAGGTAAACTGGAGATCAGGTTGGCCAGGGCTGCAAACCCCAGCCCTACCGCCCACAGCCCCTTACCTTATCCATTCCAGACCGGTTTCCACTTGGTTCGTTCTCAGCTACTGTCTCCCCAGAATACGTAATACTAAGCCAACACCCACGACCTACTCCGTACTATAAATTAATAGTCATTCCACCAACCTCCAGACATCCCACGCCATCCCCACCAGCAAAGGTTCCTCTGCTTTGGGCACTTGGAACAGAGCCCTGCGGAGGCTCTGTGTGGGGTAAAGGAGGAATGCTGCTCCCCGATTCTCCTGCCAGCCCTCCAGGAAAGGGTTTTTCGAGGTATTCCAACTCACTCACCTTGCGATGGCACGTCACCTGTCAGGAGTGGTATTAATTAAATGACCTTAACTGGCCTCAGGTGATTTCAAAAGTGCCTTCTGACTCACGAAGTAAGATGATGAGTTTGGAAATTGCAGTTTGGAAATCCACTGCAGTTTTCAGGCCTCGATGCTCAGGAGGGGAGGTGTGAGCATGAGTGTGAGCCTGAGGCTGTGCTTCCGCTGTCAGCCACGGTAATGAAGCAGAACGCACCTCATGATTACAGAACTTGGATTTAATTGGTGCCAAACATTCCAAGATGATCAAAAAGCAGCATTTATGCTTCTCATACGCTTCGCCTTTTTTTCTTTTTAGTCAGCTTAGGTATCATGAAAATGCATCACGGTACCTCTTTGTCACCAAGCCAGTCAAACAGGGAGCCCTGAAAATACTTCCAAGAAGCCTTCCCTCCTCTGCTGCCCTCTGGGAGCAAGAGCCGATCGCCTCCAACAAGAAACTACCTCCCCGAGCACAACTCAGCTCATCTCCAAGTTCCAAGGTCCCCTTTCTCCACCGCATCTCAAACCTCCTGAACCACGTGCGTGTCTTCGGCGGGTGCTTCATTCCCGGGGAAGCAGCAATCGTGCGGTCACCTGGGTGCACGGGGCAAGTCCTGTGGCCTGAGGACGGCCCCGGGTCCCCAGTCGTCCAGGACACACTTCAAGGAGCCCCCCGCCCCCCCCGGTCTGGAAGCCTCGCTTCCTGCGCACCAACACGTCAGCCTGGGCCGAGGTTGTACCACACACTCTGGTCCCCGCAGTCTTCGGTTCTGCGGTACCTTCTGCATTTTAAATTCTGAGAAGAAGTCGGCGGCCTCAGCAAAGACAGAAGAAACACGCACCTCCCCGGGGCCTTTCCCTGGACTGCCTCCAACTCTCGGGACAGCGAGAAAAGGGACCTTTCCCGTCAGCCAAGCCGCTGCTCACGACCACAGAGCGGGACGACGCGGGAAAACGAGGCTGCGGCCCAAACACACGTGAGAAGGCAAACGGGCTCCACCCGTTCCACGCACAAAGCTCCCCGAAAGGCCCAGCGGCCCGCCTGAAGACGGAGAGGGGCGGCCTCCTAGCTACGTCAGCCACTCGTCCCCTGAAACCCACCCTCGGGGACTGGAGAGCTTCCCTCAGCGCGGCCGGACTCAAGCAGGGCGACAGCCCCTCGCCGTCCGCGCCGCTCAGAGACCCCCGACCCAGCACTCAACCCCGGTCGGCACCCAGGTACCTCGGCGGGGAAAGGGGGGGGGGAGGAACAGGTCGCGTCACTTCCGGAGGCAGGGCGGGCCGCTCGACACGCTAGCGTACTTCCGGCAAAGCGGCGCCCGGAGATCAGCAACCTGATTGGGCCGCGCCGCAGGGCGCGGGACGCCAAACTTGCTTCCCATCAGCCCCCGCCAGACCGTCCGGCGGCCGCGCGCACGCCCGCGCGCCCGCAGCCCGCGCCTGCGCCTGCGCCGAGCAGCCATTGGGGAGGCCGCCGTGCCGCCGGGCCTCGCGGAGCAGCCGGGGACCGCGAGCGCGGCTCCCGCCGTCCTTCCCGTGTGTGGACGCCGCCGCGGCCCACCGGTGAGGAGCAGGGCGGGCGGGCCGGGGCGTCGCGCGGGCCGGGGCGTCCCGCAGGCCCGGGTCTGAGGAGGCCCGCCCCGGGCGTGCACCGAGGAGCAGGCCTGCTCCGGGTCCGCCGCGGGGTGGGCCTCGGGGCGGGGGGCGAGCCGCGCGTTGTCTGCGGGAGGCGGGAAGCACCGTGCGGGACACCACGGGGAGGTTGGAGCTGGCTCCGCGAGGGAGGCGCTCGTTCCGCTTCAGTCCGGGACAGGGTTCTCGCTGCCCCTCGTCGGCGTGGGCTTTTGTCATTGTTAGAAACGAGCTGGGCAGCCCGGAGGAGGAGACCCGAAACCCCGGAGCCGGCCAGGGGCTGGCGTCCGGGTTAGGGGAAGAGCTCCTGCCAGCCAGCGACAGGAGCAACCGCCTTGCAAACGGGTCTTCTCCACGAAGGCATCCGGATGGCCCGTGAGCACATCGCAGGATGCGCATTAGCCGTCAGAGTCCGGGAAATAAAACCAGAGCGAGGTACCGCGCCACACCCACGGGGGTGGCTGCGAGCGGAGGCAGATCACAGGTGTTGGGGAGGGCGCGGGGCGCGTGGCTGGCGGCCACGAAGAATGCTGCAGCCGGTGACTGTAGAAAAGGGGGTCGTGGTTCCTCCGATTTCAGCGCAGAGTTACGTAGGATCCAGCAATTCCGCTCCTGGGTTCGACTCTGGAGGGTTGAGAGCAGGGACTCGGAGCATTCGTTGTACGCCAGTGTAACCAGCAGCTTTGTTCAGAATACATATCAGCAGATGGACGGAAAGTAAATTGTGGTTGCACCGTGGGATGGGATTCATCCTTAAAAAGGAAAAGGATTCGGGCGCCTGGGTGGTGGCTCGTTGGTTACTGCCTTCGGCTCAGGTCGTGATCCCAGAGTCCGGGGATCGAGTCTCGCATCCCGTTCCCAGCTCCGCAGCGGGGAAGGACCTTCTCCCCTCCCGTGCTCTCTCTCTCTCAAATAAATAAAATCTTTAAAAAAGAAAAAAAAAAAGAATACAATTCTAATGCATGCTGTGGTATAGACGTTGGACGTGAAGTAAGCCAGAACACAGGACTGGGACAGAGAATGGAATAGAGATTAAGAGATTACCAGGGGCCAGTGGGAGTACGGGAATGGGGCGTTCTTGTTTAATGGGTACAGAGTTTCTGGTGATGAAAAGTTCTGGAAATGGATAATGGGGATAGTTGTACAGCATTGTGATATACTATATCACTAAATTGTGCATTTGAAAATTGTTAGAATGGTAAATTTTGTTGTATTTTACCATAATTTTTTTAAGATTTTATTTGTTTATTTGGCAGAGAGAGACACAGCAAGAGAGGGAACACAAACAGGGGGAGTGGGAGAGGGAGAAGCAGGCTTCCCGCAGAGCAGAGAGCCCAGTGCGGGGCTCGATCCCAGGACCTGGGCTGGACCCAGGTCCCCGATCCCTGAGATCATGACCTGAGCTGAAGGCAGACGTTTAACAACTGAGCCACCCAGGCACCCCTATTTTACCATAATTGTAAAAATACATGGCGGGAGGCACCTGGGTGGCTCAGTCAGTTGAACCTCTGACTCTTGGTTTCTACTCAGGTCAGGATCTCGGGGTGGTGGGATCAAGCTCCACCTCAGGCTCTGCACTCAGTACGGAGTCTCCTTGTCCCTCTCCTTTTCTCTCTTTCTCAAATGAATACGTAAAGTCTTAAAAGAGGGATGGGGTCAAAACCAGAGACAATAAGAAGACCAGTGTTTATGAGGATCACAGGGAATTGTTCTGGCTGTGAAATTATTCTGTTCCATTGTGTAATGCTGCGTATGTGACACTGCATTTGTGGAAACCCATAGGCTTGTGCAACAGGTAGAATGATCCCCTAACTGAATTCTGCACTTCAGTAAATAGTAATATATCAGTATTTCTTCCTCAGTTGTAACAAATGTACTAATACAGGATGTTAATAATAGGAAAAATAGTGTGCAGAGGAGGAAAGAAGGTAAATAAAGGTAGAGAAGTTTCCTTTCAATATTTTCTTTAACCTAAAACTAAAAAATAAAGCTTACTAATTTTTAATTAATTAATTTTTAGTGGTAAAGAGCAATGCTAGTGGGTATATACTAGTTGAACCCAGTTAGCCTTAAACATGCTATCCATACTGAGTTTTGTTTTTAAAAGCTAGAGCATCAGAAAGTTTTTAATGAGGACCAGGTGTTAGACTTTAAGGGAGCTACTGAATAGGAGATAGGTGTGATGTGGTGGTGGACTGGCAAACCACTTACAACTTTTTTTAGGGACAGCATATAGTCTGTGGAGGCAGAAGGTAGGATCAGAGAAACTATTCTTAGTCTGGACTGTGTAGAGTTTACTTTTATATTTAGGCTTAGGAGCTCTGAAATTTAGTGGGGGGTGGGGAATGGTAGGATCTTAAAGCTGGGAGGAATCTCAGTGTCTAGCCTCTACCCAGGAGCTGAATTCTGGACTCGTTGTTGCAGCACACCCATGGGAAAGACCTCATGATGTTTCAGCAGAGATCCGGAATCAGGAAATCAGGATCTTATATGGCTTCCTCTGACCTAACTGTTGTGATCTAGGCCCACTTTTCTCCATCAGCATCAGTTTTCTCAATTGTAAAATGAAGAGTTTGGACTCGAGTCCCTTGAGGATCCTTTCAGTCCTGTACTGGCCATTGCCTTATAATTACAGAGGGCTCCTACCTGGCAAAGCAGCTCATTCTAGTCCATGACTGAGAGTTTGTAAAACTTTATCTTGAGCTAGAATCTGTTCTCCTGCTAGTTTCCACTTGTTGCTTCTAGGACACATTACGTATTATCCACAATTCTTCCACTTTTGAAGTTGATCAGTTTCTTTACTCACAAAAGACATGTTTTTAAAGACTGGCTGCCATCCTGGCTACTTTCTTTTGCATGTTGCTTAGTGTTATGAACTCAAAGTGTCCTTCCTGCCCATAACTGGAGACAGTGATCCATTGGGACATTCTGCCCCATGTAGACTGTGCAGTGCAGTTTTCTGTGGATTCATCTTCTTGATTTTGCCCATTATACTGCCTTGTCAAGGTCTTATAGATTCCAGTGCATTAGTTTAGTCAAGATAAATTAGAAAGAACATAGATAATCTGGTCCTTTGTCAGAAGCTGATTATTTGCTTCATCTTGATCACTCTACTTACTGTCTAGGTTTGAATTTCCTCAGCTATCAATTGAAGTTTTGAAGTAGGTGATCCCTGAAGTCTTTCTGCTCTAAATCCCAGTGATTTGAAAACTAGATGGTAGCTCAGGTCTCTTTTAGTTTTAAAATCCTGTGAATCTAAGGTCAGGTCTCCAGTCTTCATGATGGGATGTTTTAGAGGTAACAAACAGATACTTTCTGAGCATATACCATGTGCCAGGGATGTGCAAGGGTTGCAGGGATGAATGGGTAGTCCCTGCCCTCTAAGAGCCGGACTCTTGAGTACCAAAGAGTGATGGCTACACTGGGGGTGTGCACACAAAGAGGGTTGGGGACAGGGGGGGACGGAAGGGGGATGGTACAGGGAGCAGAGCATGTGGGCCATTTTTTAAGAAGTAATTCTGCCTGAAGGATGGAGAGACTTGCCTGAGGGCTGGGTGGCAAGATGGGGAGTGTAAAGAAGAGGAAATGCCTGTGTGAAGGTCCAGAAGCTTGGTTTGTCATGGAATTATGGGTGGATCAGTATTCAGAGAATGTGGTCCAGTCACAGCCAGACAGATGTTGAAGAGCTCCATATGCTATGGTATTGGGGATACTTTGAGGAATTGTGGGTAGGCAGATGCCATTAGGTTTTTGTGTTTGGGACATGGCTAGAAACTGTATGGAGTGGATCGCAAGGAAGGGAGACTGGAGGCAGGGAGAGCACAGCTATCAGAATGACCACAGGTAGAGAAATGTGCCAGAACTTATCAGCAAAAGTGTGTTATGAGCTATTACCTAGCTTGTTTGAGGCCAGTTTTCTTCCTTTCTATTCAAATTAAAAACTTACCCAGACCCTGATACTTTCTCTTTGAAATCCACGTGTGAAGAGGCTTGAGTCCTTGAGTTGTCACGGAAGCACCACTCTTTCCTTGTTTCTCAAAGCCTCTTCCTTTGCCCTTTAGTCCTGTTGATTATCTTGTCCCTTCCTCACTACCTGGTACTTTGCTGCCCTGCAGTGTAGTGTGGATAATGGACAAAACATCAGCTGTTCCTGTAGTCTGTGGTCACAGCAGCAGTCTGCTGAGTGCTGTCCTGTCAGCTGAAGTGAAATAGTGGGTTTGAGAGTGCTGTGATTATAGACAAGGACGTTAATTCCATAGTAGGTTTTAAAGTAGAGTTAGATGTGCTTGGGATCGTGGGTAGTATCCATGGTCATCTTTGGTATTATTTCATTAAAGCAAGTGGATTGGATCCCTGCCGCTGTCGCGGGGAGCAGAACAGTGAGAGAAATAGGCAGAATTCTTTTGCAGGGGTACAGATTAGCACAGAAATGTAGTTTTGATTACACTTCCTTTATTTATTTTTTTTTCAGGTCCAACTCTCATCTTTGTTCTTCATGTAATACAGGCTATTTTCTGTAGTTCACTCAGAAGCCATGTAGACTTGCCTGCCCTTTGAAGACATACTCTTAAGAGTTCTAGGAAGATAAGCTGGTAAGTCTGTCAGAGAAAAGCCTATTGTTCTTTATTTTTTTCCTGCTCTGAATGTACTTGTCCTGAATTTACAGTGTTCTTTTTTTTTTTTTAAGATTTTTATTTATTTATTTGACAGAGAGAGATCACAAGTAGGCAGAGAGAGAGAGAGAGAGAAGCAGGCTCACTGCTGAGCCCCAATGCAGGGCTCGATCCCAGGACCCTGAGATCATGACCTGAGCCAGGGGCAGAGGCCTAACCCACTGAGCCACCCAGGTGCCCCTATAGTGTTATTCTAACAATTTTCCATATGTTTTTGTTTGCCTTTTAACATTTAGGAAAATATTTTTAAGATGTGAACATTTTTTAAAAGTGCTTATACTCAAGGAAGATGCATGCGCTCGTACATAGTGGTACGTGAATGTGTGCTAGATACGCACATATATGATAGAGTTCAGGGTTTGAGAAGTGGATTTTGTACAATTCCTGTTTTTGTTTTTGTTTTAAGTAAGAGGTTATTAGGGTATGATAATGAGTTCTGGGAGCGGGCAGGTTTGGGTAGACTGGCCAGAAGAGTTGATGGTAGGAAGAGGAAATAGGGAGGGACAGGTGGGAGAGATGGGGAACACCGAAGTCTGAGGAGTCATGGGGTTTAACACAGACTAGAGGAAGCAGGAAGGTTGAGGAACTGACTGCCTGGCACTAGATGAAGGGGCGAGAAAGCTGATGATTCCACAAACAGTAATTAAGAACAAAAGGAGTCAGTCCGATCTGAGAAGCTGGGGTGGCTGGAGGCTGCAGGAGGCAAAAGCAGCAGGAATTAGCCTAAGTGATATTCATCAAAGATAGAGTAATTTACAGGAGCAGCTGTAAAATGTAGGGTTAGTGTAGAATTTCCAGAGAGGCAAGAAACAGGTACAGCCAATGGAAAGTAGAAATAGGGAGAAACGGGGTAGGGCTTTGCCTGTAGAAAGGAACCGTAACACTTGGGCAGCAGTCGGGACAGAAGGTGTGGCTGAAGGGGACACCAGCTCTCTACTTGTTGCACTCCTAGAGAGGTCGATTTTTCATTGGGTAAGTTTGCCAGAAACACTTTCTAAAAACCTTCCTGATGATAGAATAGTGTGCCCAGTAATTTCTGTGGGAATAAAAGAAAATGCTTTACTCTTATAGTTCATAATCTGATCCCTATACTGTGCTTACTGGGCTTATTGATGACCCTCTATTTTATGAGTTAGTATCGGTAAGAAGTTGATGAGTTAACATATAGGAAATGAAAAAAGTTTTGTTGATGGGACTTTATATTAGGCAAAGTGATGAGAGAGGTCACTAAGTAAAAATACTTTCTCCTGCTGTACACCAATTTGTTTGTTTGTTTCTTTCTTTTTAAGACTGTATTTATTTGGCAGAGAGAGAGGACAAACGGGGGAATGGCAGGGAGAAGCAGACTCCTGCTGAACAGAGAGCCCAACCTGGACCCTGGGATCATGACCTGAGCTGAAGGCAGGCGCTTAAGTGGCTCGACTGAGCCACTCAAGTGCCCCTATACCCCACTTTCTTGAGAAGGTGGGGAAAGTCTCCATAGTTAACAGTTCGTTTAAGCTTAAGAAACTCAAATCATGAAAGTACAAAGCCTCGCTTCCTGTAGTGAGTAGGACTTGAGTATATTTCAGATGAGATACTGTGTTGTTGGTCAGCCAGAACTGTACCATGGTCATTGTGGAATATTTACTTACCAGAAAGTGAAGTATTTGTTAGATGCTACCCTTGTAGTTTCTAGTTTAATAATCATAGCTGACCCTGAGGGCTCACTACGAGATACTGTTCTACATATGCTGCAGAATGTTAACATCCATCGGAGAGTCCAGGAAACTGAAGCATAGAAAGATTCAGCAACTTAACAAAGCCATGGAGTGAAACAGGACTCACTCAAACCCAGCAAGCCTGAGGTCTTAACCTCTGTGTTGTAATATATTGATGTAGGGCTTATTGTAATATAATGATATGCTTTAATATCTAAATCCACCTTATTTAATAGGAACATCCCTCGACTGTTCATTATGGCCACTTATGGCCAGATGGGGTTATTGAGATACTGCAGCCTTTTAACATTCTCGTGGTTTTGTGAGACATTGGGCCTGAGGGCATCATTAACCTACATGTTCTTTCTACACGTTTTCCTCATTGTGTTTGTAAGTTGAAGATTCTTCGGTACTAAGTGATCATGTTCTTTTTTTAGTCTGTATAGCCCTAAAAACAATTTTCTAAAAGCCAGGATGGTTGCAGGGTAATTCAGGAAGGTCTACTACTTTCTGAAAAGCACTTGTTTCCTCCACTGTCTTCTCACCTTTTAGACCGCTCCCCCAAAATGCAGATGACACACTGGTGATATGGGTGATAGAAAACCATGTCATCAATAATAACCTCTTCAAAACAAGTTATCAAAATTAGAAATGTTAAATTTTTTAAGTTATTATTTTTGAAATTATCAAAGTGGGAGCCACTGAGCATAAATAAGTGTCTCTAGTCTTTACTGTATCTTGAGGAGCAGTAATGTGGAAGGAACACATTTTAACCTTGTAATTACTATTAGCACAGAAAACAGTGCCTGCTCTTGGTGGTGGCTGATACTTTTGGTAAAGGATAGGACATAATTTAATGAGGAAGGACTTTGTGATTCACTTGGATAAACTCACTGTGTATATTACAGAATCTCCTTTAGCACTTGTTGAGTTCCCATGCGGAGGGGAGCATACCAGACGGCACCGGTAGAGAATCGGAGGGAGTCAGAGGTACCTGGCTGGCTCAGCTGGAAGAGTGTGAGCCCCATGTTGGGGATAGAGATTGCCTAAAAAATTTTAAAAATAAAACAGAGTCCAGAATGGATTCCTAAACACAAAATTCAGTAAATGCTAAAGGGAACATTACAGATCAGTGAGAAAAAAGGTTGCAGAGACAACTGAACTATCCATTTGGGGTGGAAAAAAATAGGCCGAATCCCTGTCTCTTTTTACCAGATAGAGTAAAAATACAAATATAAAGGGGTACCTGGGTGGCTCAGCCGGTTAAGTGTCTGACTCTTGGTGTCAGCTCAGGGCATGATCCCAAGGCTGTGAGATTGAGCCCCAAGTGGAGCTCTGCCACCCAGGGCATGGAGCCTGCTTAAGGTTCTCTCTCCCTCAGCCCCTACCCCCCAAAAAGTACAAATGTAAAAAGAATGAAATCCTCAAAATCATAGGAAAAAAATATTGATTGCTTTAAAAAGTAATGGAGCGGGAAAGCATAATATATAACAGTCATAAGGAAAATACCTTTAAGTTTTTAATTTTTACATAAACTAGCTGTGTGTGAAAAAAAGCACATATATATGTACACATACATACCATAAAGTCAAGAGACATGATAAACTAGGAAAATACTTAGAGTAAAGGGATGATTTCTTTGATACAGACTATTTACAGGTAATTAAATGGACAAGGCACATCCTACAAAAGAAACACACATGGCTAATGAACAAGGGAAAATGTTCACTCTTTCTCATTAAAGAAAAGCACCTTAAAATAATGCTGCAACTCCAGTTTTTACTTAGAAGTTTAATAATGCTCAGTATTGATGAGGGAGTTGGGGAATTGTCCCTGGTATATACACTCTCGGTTGGTATGTAATAGTACTGTAACTTGTTGAGAGTTTTATGAAATGTATTGATTTTAAATGTAAATCACCTTTGAACCAGGTAATTCACTTCTAGGAATTTTCCCTTCAGAAATACCCCCAATTCAAGATATGCAGGGAAATTTAGTGCTTATTCTCTACATAAGTAGAAACATACACACTTGGCCTACTTTGGTTTCTAGAATCTCTGAAACCTTCTCCTCTTCTCGCCCTGAAGCCTCAGGAGCCTGGTCTTTCTCCAGAGCCACTTTCTCTTCCTTAAATGAAAGCAGTGTGTTTAATATCTCATTCGTGTAGGATGTGTTTGTGCAAGATTGTGTATACATAGAACAAGTGATACTATGTAAATATGTTGTCCTGCATAAATGACTACATTTTTAACTATGAGCTCCTGTACTTTTCACCACCCTCGAAGACTTGCTTAAACTCAATACTGGCAGGCAAGTTCCTGCCTCAAGGGTGTCATCCATCCGAATTGCCCTTTGCTAGGCAAACTGCCTTTACATCATTCCGGATCTGTGCTTGAGCGTCTTTCCTTGACAGCCATCTGTGCACACCTGGCTTTGCACCTAATGTAAGCACCACAGTATAAGACCTCTCTTTAACCCACGTGCCTAGAAAAACAGGGCACAGAAAATAGTTCATTTATTAAATGAATAAATAAAATACTTGATATTAGGATGGATGAAACATTACAAAATGTGTTGATATTTTTAAAAAGTCATCTTTTCATGTTTTAGTTTTAGTTTAACAAATGCTCTCTGAAGTGGAGCTAGTTTCTTGCTCAGCCTTAAATTGCCTACCATTAATTTCGGTGTTGGCTAAGCTTTATATGCTGACAGCTACCTTGTTGATTCTGGGGTTCAGAGTCAAGATGTAAGGCACATGCTAGGTTATTCTGGGGTCAGGCTTGGGTCACCGTTATAACCTGGGTGAGGCACCTCTCTGAACCTGTTTCTTCATCTACAAATAAAAATAATACTGAGTCGTGGTTCTAGGAGGATTACATGAGGAGATACCTCTAAAAGTCACAGTTCCTGGACCTCAGTTAAAGGTTAGTTCCATCTTTCCTTTCTCTTCAAAATCTTTATTGAGGTATCTGATAAATACACATGCCATTCCAGACTTAAAATTACGCAGTTGTAGAATGGATAGAGAACAGTTTTTTTTTTTTTTAAAGTTGTATTCCCTGAAAATCATTTATTTCTGCTTTATTGCAGTACTGTTGAAAGGTTTTACAGAATATAATCGTGTGTGTTGTGACAGAGAGAGAAATGGAAGTATTCCAGGAAATCCGTAAACCATCATCACGTTTGGAGTGTGACCACTGCAGTTTCCGAGGCACAGATTATGAAAATGTGCAAATCCACATGGGCACCATCCATCCAGAATTTTGTGATGACATGGATGCTGGTGGGTTAGGTAAAATGATATTTTACCAGAAAAGTGCAAAGCTGTTCCACTGCCATAAGTGCTTCTTCACCAGCAAGATGTACTCCAGTGTGTACTATCACATCACCTCTAAACATGCAGGCCCAGAGAAGTGGAATGAGAAACCAAAAAATCAGCTAAACAAAGAAACAGATCCTGGGAGAAGCCCTCCTCTTTCTGAACACCAGAAAACACCCTCTAATTCAGATCTCCCAAAACCCATACCTGCCCTTTCCATAGAAACACAGAAACTTGGCCCAATTTTATCTCCAGAATCCCCAAAACCTACACCTCTCACTTCCCTGGAGCCTCAGAAGCCTGGCACTGTTGTTTCTCCTGAGCCACAGATACCTTCTCTTCCTTCTCCTGAGCCTCCAAAATCTTCCTCTGTTTCTTCTCCTGAACTTCCAAAATCAGTCCCTATTGTTTCTGAGTCTCAGAAACCAGTCCCTATTCCTTCTCCAGAACCACAGAAACTTGCCCCTATATCTCCTGAGCCAGTAAAGGCCACTCTTACTAAACCCCAGAAACACTCCCATTTCCCAGAAACACTGGGGCCACCTTCAGGCTCATCTCCAGAGTCACCAGTTTTGGCTGCTTCCCCTGACCCTTGGGGTCCATCCCCAACTGCATCTCCAGAGTCTCGGAAACCAGCCCGGACTATCTCCCCTGAGCCAAGGAAGCCATCCCCATCAGAGTCTCCGGAACCTTGGAAGCCATTCCCTGCTGTCTCTCCAGAACCCAGAAGACCAGCTCCAGCTGTGTCACCAGGTTCTTGGAAGCCAGGGCCACCTGGATCCCCAAGGTCTTGGAAATCCAGTCCTTCAGCATCATCAGGACCTTGGAAGCCAGCTAAGCCTGCTCCATCTGTGTCTCCTGGTCCTTGGAAGCCGATTCCTTCTATCTCACCTGGACCATGGAAACCAACTTCCTCTGTATCGCCCGCATCCTGGAAGTCTTCGTCAGTCTCACCTGGCTCCTGGAAGTCCCCCCCTGGGTCTCCTGAGTCGTGGAAGTCTGGCCCTCCAGAACTCCGAAAAACAGCTCCCACCTTGTCACCTGAACATTGGAAGGCAGTTCCCTCAGTGTCCCCTGAGCTTCGTAAAGCAGGACCTCCCTTGTCTCCTGAGCTTCGCAAACCAGGCCCACCATTGTCCCCAGAGATCCGCAGTCCAGCGGGATCTCCAGAGCTCAGAAAACCTTCAGGGTCTCCAGAGCTTTGGAAGCTTTCTCCTGATCAGCGAAAAACTTCCCCTGCTTCACTTGATTTTCCCGAGGCCCAGAAAAGTTCCCGTGGTGGTTCCCCTGACCTCTGGAAGTCTTCCTTCTTTATTGAACCTCGGAAACCTTCTGGACCGTCTGAGTCCCCTAAGGCAACCTCCGATATATGGAAACCTGTTCTCTCTCTCGATCCCGAACCTAGAAAATCCGCCCTGTTTTCTGAGCCCAGCAAAACAGCCCCTCCAGCATCTCCTGAACCACGAAAACGTGCTCTTTTTCCAGAGCCCCGGAAACATGCCCTTTTCCCTGAACTTCCCAAATCTGCGATCTTCTCAGAATCTCAGAAGGGAGTTGAGCTTGGTGATGAACTACAGACAGATGCCATAGATGATCAAAAGTGTGATATTTTGGTTCAGGAAGAACTACTAGCTACACCTAAGAAACTCTTAGATTCTGACACCTTATTTCCATCCTCAAAGAAGCTCAAGAAAGACAACCAAGAGAACTCAGATGCTGAGCTGAGTAGCAGTGAGTATATAAAAGCAGATTTAGATGTGCTAGACAGCAAGGGCCAAGAATCAAGCAGTGATCAAGAACAGGTTGATGTAGAATCTATTGATTTTAGTAAAGAGAACAAAATGGACATGACTAGTCCAGAGCAGTCCAAAAATGTCTTACAATTTACTGAAGAGAAAGAGGCTTTTATCTCTGAGGAAGAGATTGCAAAGTATATGAAGCGTGGAAAAGGAAAGTATTACTGCAAAATTTGTTGCTGTCGAGCTATGAAAAAAGGTGCAGTTTTGCACCACTTGGTTAATAAGCATAACGTTCATAGCCCTTACAAATGTACAATTTGTGGAAAGGCTTTCCTTTTGGAATCTCTCCTTAAAAATCATGTAGCAGCCCACGGGCAGAGTTTACTTAAATGTCCACGTTGTAATTTTGAATCAAATTTCCCAAGAGGCTTTAAGAAACATTTAACACACTGTCAAAGCCGGCATAATGAGGAGGCAAATAAAAAGCTGATGGAGGCTCTTGAACAGCCACTGGAGGAGCAGCAGATTTGATTTTTACACATGGTGTGGGTATGTGATCTACAGTTGTTTGTTGAAACTGTGTAAAGCATTGTTAAATAGCATAGCTGGATCGGTAGATGTTGATGTGTATGCTGTACTGTGTTTAATTGTCTCCGTAGTGTTACAGAGAATGAACATTTGGGGTTTTTTTTTTTCATGTCTCTGTGGCTATCTTGTAAGTCAATAAATTTGTAACTTTATTCCAATGGATAAAATTTCTCTAATTTCTTTTGAATATATGTGAATAATATGAAGATGTAGGAGGTCCACTTATCAAGAGCAAGTTGTACTCAATTTAAAACATCTAGTCAAAGTGTATCTTTTTGTGAAACTAACTTCAGACAGTGGAAATTATTAGTTGGAATGTTTGAGAATTAGGCATGAAAAATTTGAGAAATTTTTTTCTCTTCAATATATTTTCAGATCTTAAGTTCCTTTTTGATCATATAAAGTTAGTTTATAAATCTTGAGCAGTTCTAGATGTTTATTAGCTTTTATGTCATGGAAAATTGGAGTCTCAGGGTTGCTGATTTTTTGCTAAAAGAGATGTTGAGTGAGTTTAAAAAGATTTGTAACTTTCTCTAGGAAACTGGGAAAGATGAGTGTGACTTAGGTCCTGTCCTTAGTTGTTTCCCTCTGAGTCTTCCATTCTGCACCGCCTTCCCCGTGCCACCCACTCCTGGGTCTGTCTCTTTGCTTCCCTGTGAGCTCACACCAACAGATGATCCTTAACTGCCAAATGTGTCAGAACTGCACTCCCTGCTCCTGGGCCTAACACGCCCCCTAGGTGGGGTTCAGACCTGGTAATGAGTAGGACCTGAGAGTCTTCCAGATTCACAGTAGAAAATTTTGTAAGGAGACATTTCTGTTTGAGAGTATGTCGATTGTATGTTTTCCACAGTTGTTGCCGTAAATACCTTGTGCCTGTTTGTGGATCATTTTGTTCTAAAATATTTTGTCAAATGTGTATCAACCAAATTAAAAACAAAGGCTTTCATGTCAACAGCACCCTTATGTGTGTGTTTTCTTTTGTGTAATTTTCCTTGTATGATACCGAGAGTCCATGATTCTCCCCCTGTTCTCAGCATGCTAATTTTCCCATCTGGAGCAGCATTTTCTAAGCTGTTTTCTCAGTTCTGTGGTCGGGTACATGAGGGAAACACTACATTTTGTGAGAGATCCACATCCTGGCTGACTTGTAAAACCCATGTGAAGCATTCATTGCCATAAGGATTCTCCTATGCAGCCAAGGGCTGAGAGACCACCTTTAATGAAGCTGTTCCCAGACATTTTTGAACAGCAAGCACTTTTTTTCATAACATCCCAATTAATATGCCAATTGAGAAGACATTGTGTTTATAGAATCCTGGGAAGATGTTGGTGTTTATAGATTCCTGGGAGGACGTTACAGGCTCCAGGTCGCACTTCTTTAGTGAGTAGTCGATGTCAGTTTACATTGGGCCCCTTGAGAAAAAGCTTCCAGTACTGGAGTTTCCTTCTAGGCCAACAAGAAGGATAAGTAGGATACCTTGGATAAGACAGTGGTCTTGTTCTCATCTAAACTGACTCAAAATTAGGACTGGAAAAGACAAAGGTGTGCAGCACCCAGAAACCCTTTTGAAGCCTTCGGTCTCAAACCAACTGTTAAGTGTAACCGATTATTTTCCTTAGGACTTTGCACTTCTGGTGCAAACTTCTCACAGAATCCTTCCTAGACCTTTGCTCAAGGTGGGGCCAACCAGATCCCATGACTTGCCATCTTAAGTGGGTTTTTCATAATACAGAAGATACTATGCCAAAGTAGGAGATGGACAAACAGTTTTGGCCTTTGGTTAAGCCGGTGTGTTCTTGGATCACCTCACTTAGGGCTTCCCACTTTTTTCTCATTTTACCTCAGGATCAAGATTACCCCACCCCCTTTTTTTTAACCTTGGCAATTTTGCCTCCTCTACAGTAGCTTTAGTCAATGTGACCCTCTAGTCATTGTGACCCTATCTACATTTTCATTTCCTCTGTAATTACAACTATTTTAAATGAGCTCAGTCCAGTGAGTTTTATATAATATGAAAGATTACTAGACTTCACTCAACATTCATGGAACTGACACTTACATTTTAGGTGACCTATTGACTTATCTGGGATCTGGCTGTAGCAGATACTGTTTTGTTTTTGTTTTTTAAGATTTTTTTTTTTTTTTTACATTTTTAAGGTCTACACCCAACGTGGGACTTGAATCCACATCTCAGATCTAGAGCCTCATGTTTTGCCAATGGAGCCCAGCAGGCACCACACTCCTTTTGTTTTTAATATTCGTGTGGATTCTACAGCTTTGTCTTAGATGAAGACAGAAGGATGCTTACCAACTCAGATCTGAATTAATTTGGAATGAGAATCAATGAAACTCTATTTTTGTACATAATCTTTTTAAAAATTAGAAAACAACTAAAAATCATCTTAACCCTACCTGCAATTACTATTAAATTGTGGTATATTTCCTGTATTTTTCCTAAAAGCTTGAGTATTTTTATGTTTGTACCTCTTAACCTCCCTTCACCCATTTGCCCAGCCCCTCCAGCCCCTTCTCCCCTCTGGCAACCACTGGTTTGCTCTCCGTACTTAGGAGTCTGTTTCTGTTTGTTTTGTTTTTAGATTGTACATAGAAGTGAAATCATTTGTATTGCTTTTGTTCTGATTTATTTCACTTAGCATAAAACCCTTTAGGTCCATCCATGCTGTCGCAAATGGCAAGATCTCATTCCTTTTTTGTGACTAATATTCCATCGTCTGCATATATACACGCGTGTGCTTGCCCACACACACATATATATATGTAACATCTTTATCCATTTATGGATGGATGGACACAAGCTCCTTCCGTATCTTGGCTATTGCAAATAATGCTACAATAAACACAGGGGTACATGTATCTTTTCAAATTAGTGTTTTCGTTTTCTTTGGGAAAATAACCAGCGGTGGAATTACTGAATTATATGGTATTTCCATTTTTAGTTTTCTCAGGAATTTCTATACCATATTCCACAGTGGCTGCACCAATTTACACTCCCACTAGAGCAATGCACAAGGGTTCCCTCTTCTCCACATCCTCTCCAGCACTTGTTACCTCTTGTCTTTTTTATTCTACCCATTCTGAATACTAAGTTTAATAGAAGTGTGATCTCTCATTGTGGTCTTAATTTGCATTTCCCTGATGATTGGTGATGTGAACCTTTTCACGTATTTTTTTTTTTTTGAAGATTATATTTATTTGTCAGAGAGAGAGCACACAAGCAGGGGGAGTGGTAGAGGGAGAAGCAGGCTCCCGGCTGAGCAAGGGGCCCAAGATGTGTGGCTCAATTCAAGGATCCTCGGATCATGAGGTCCCAAAGGCGGATGCTTAACAGACTGAGCCACCCAGGTGCCCCTTTTGACCATCTATGTCCTTGGGAAAATGTCTTCTCAGGTCTTCTGCCCACTTAATAATCAGATTGGTTGTTTTTCTCAGAACTGATATAATCTTTATGTATTTTGGATATTAACCCCTCATCAGATATGTCATTTGCAAGTATCTTCTATTCTGTAGGTTGCCTTTTCGTTTTGTTGGTGGTTTCCTTTGCTGTACAGAAGCTTTTCATTTTGGTGTCATCCCAAGAGTTTATTTTTGCTTTTGTTTCCCTTGCCTGAGATGCAGCACCCACCAGTATGTTGCTAAGGCTGATTTCTACAAGATTAATGCCTATGGTTTAGGAGTTTTACGGTCTCAGGTCTCACATTTATGTCTTTAATCTGTCTGGAGTTTATTTCTGTGTGTGGTGTGAGAAAGTGGTCTGATTTCATTCTTCTGCCTGCAGCTGTCCAGAACACAGCACTGTTCATTGGGGAAATCTTCTTTTCCCCGCTGAGTATTCTTACTTCCTTTGTTGTAGAACAACTGACCCTCTACTTCACATTGGTACACATCTTTTCAGATATTTTCTAGCACACACAAACATCCAATGTGTTTAACTACTTAAAGCACATCTTGCAATTCTAACTTTGTAACACACTGTGGACATTTCAGTGTCCGTATTCTGCCAGCCAGACATTTCCCATTTCTCCTGTTACAGCAGGGCGTAGGGATAGCTGGTGTGCTTACTGTCTGTACTTGTGCGGGTCTGTATGCAGGATGTAGTGTTAGGAGTTCAAATGCTAGCTGGAGGACATTTCCATTTTATGTTCTGATGTGGCACTTTTGCCTGAGGAATTTTCTTTGTAACACAGGAATGACCAAATCTTGTTTGGATGATCCAGGAGAGGGGAGCCACCGCTGGGTTCCTTCCTGCACTCTCTCAGTCCTCAGGCTTCCTGGGACAGGCCTGTCTCACTCAGCTCCAGCCACTGTTAACAAAATACCACGGATGGGCAGCTTCAGACACAGATACTTATCTCACAGTTCTGGAGGCCAGAAGTCCAAGATCAAGGTGCCAGGTATTTCGGTGAGGACTCCCTGGCTTGCAGACGGGCACCTTCTGGTGTCTCCTCTTACAAGAACACTAATCCAACCAGACCAGGGCCCCATCCTTATGAGCCCATTTAACACTGATTACTTCTTCACTCCAGATACACTCGTACGGGGGAGGGAGGAGGGTTAGGGCTTTAATACATGAACTCTGTGGGGACAAAGGTCAGTCTGTAGCAGGGCTTGAGTCTGGATATCATGGTTTCTACCATCTGTTAAGACATCCAATAAATGCCAGAGTTTGGTACCCAAACATCTCCTACATTGGCCCTCACACCCCAGAGTGGCACAAGAATCCTTTGGCAAATCAGTTGTTCCACTTTTTAGTTCGGAAAAGTAGGGTCCAAGTGATGTAGGAAATGGCTACCTCATGCGTGTGTGGCCAGGTAATTATATGTAGCACACAGCTCTCAGTTTGGCACCTTGACATGACAATAATTTCTACCATGACAATAATCTGAACTGTTCTACTAAAAATGCTATTATTGTTGAAAAATGCCATTCCTCTATGGGATAGACTGCTTAAGTCTGCCAGGACATCTTTTATTGCTTTTGTGATACAAAGTTACTAATGTAATTATTTTTCCTTTAGATGTGTAACAGTGAAGAATTTGGGGAGAAATTTAAAACATTACATGATAAACATACTTTCAATACAAAGGAGAAGCACTTACAAGAAGCTGTTAGCTTTCCACCAAAATGCAGCCCAACAGAAGCTCACACAGAGAAGACAGCATTTTTCTAAACTTCACTGAAGTGACAAAATTTTAAAAATAAAGATTTAAAACTGAAACTTCATACAGCAATTACTATCATTAGAACTTGCTATAGCTGGGACTGGGTTGAAGCAATTAACTGGTGGATTGAAGTAGGCTAATTTGCTTTAAAAAAAAAAAAACCCTGTTGACTGAATACTGTTGTGAAAATAAACTTATTTTCTGTCATTTTTCTTTTTTTTTTTTGCTATTAACACAGGTCAAACAAATCAAATACCTAATTCTTCACTTTACTTAATTCTTCACTTTAATCTCTGACATGTCCTTAATTTTAAAGATAGGAAGAACAGAATAGCAAACAAATCTACTTAAAGTGTAGATAATTCGCTCTCCTTTTATCAGAGCTGAGAAAACAGATACAAGTGAGAATTTCATGACAGGCGAACCTAAAAGATCCTTTCTAATGGTGTGATGTGAAGAAGCCGACGCTCTTCACCAGCTGGGTCCCCTACATGTGCAGGACGGGGCCAAAGGTGCCCCCAGGCCACGGCCACACACCCCGCTTTCCTCGTGGAGATCTGTGCAGAGAACCTGTTGCCCATGAGCTGCCTCATCTTACCCCAAGGGTCTCACTGTCACATGACTCATGAAGTGGGAGATGATGACTCGGTAAGCACTATTATCAAGCAAGTGAAAACGTGTTTCCAAAGATGTAAATGAGATTCTTCAGAGTGCCTAATTCATGTCAGATTTGAGGAATTCCTTCAGTTAGCTGCTGTTTATAATTTACTAGCAACACTGAGATCCATCAAAATACTGATAGTTAATGTTCTGCTTTGCTATGTTCACATTTGAATATAATTATTAAAATTATTAGATAGCCAAATAAAACCAGACTGGGATCTAAAATGAGAAACAATAGAAAAAAAAAGAAAATTTTGCAAGGCAAATATAGAAGGCAAACCAAAAGGTGGCCAGCCCCACACCTCCCCTCAGTCACACTGAGCACTGTATTCCCTCCCCGTGATGTAGGCTGCAACTCCCATGGGCTATGTCCATGTGAAGAACATTTCTACCATTTCTTAGACACGTGGCAAACTCAGAAACCTTTTTTTCTGGGCAATTATTAATAAAAACTTTACAAATATGAAAGCAGCTTCTGACTTTGTCAGCAACAGGTGCTAGACATCTCTAAACCTGTTTCCTAGTTTATAAAAGGGAGTTCATCTATGTCCTACCCAACCAATCTTAAAAGTGAGTCTAAGCTGAAACTGGGAAGTGTATATGGAAGTGTTTTATGCCAAGGTAACCCATCATACAGATGTATTATTGTTTTAAATCAGTAATCTCAAAGTGGCTTTCGGGAAGCCCTGGGGACAGATCTCAGGAAACTCTCAGAGGGAGTACTACGTTTTTACCTACTTATTTTCCAGCTTTGAGGTATAACTGATAGATCTGTAACAGTTAAAGTGTATAACATACTGATTTGTAAAATGTATACATTATGAAAGGATTACAATGAGTTGGTGTCACCTCACATATTTGTGCTTTTTTTGAGGAGAAAATTCTACTCTTAGCAAATTCCAATTATACAATACAGTGTTATCAACAGTCATTATGTCGTACATAAGATCCTTGACCTTAATCTTATAACTGAATAACCTAGGACTTTCACTAACCTCTCTCCCTATTTCCCTCACACACTAGTCCTGTCAGCCACCATTTTACTGTTTCTAGGAGTTGGACTTTTTTTTTTTTTCCACACTGTACCTGTAAGTGATACTATGCAGTATTTGTCTTTTTTGTCTGCTTACTTCACTTAGCATAATGCCAAGTTCATCCACATTGTTGAAAATGGCAGGGTTTCCTTTTATGAGGCCACATAATATTCCATTTTCTTTATCCATCCATCCACCCATCCATCCATCGTGGACACTAAGGTTATTTCCATACCTTGGCTACTGTGAATAATGCTGTGATGAACGTGTGAACAGATATCTCTTTAAGGTAGTGCTTCTGTTCCCTTTGGACCTATGCCCACAGTGGCATTGCTGGACTATTTTTAATTTCTTGAGGGATCTCCACACTGCCATACCGTAGCGGCTTGACTACTTGGCGTTCCCACCAATGGTGCACAAGGGTTCCCCTTCCTTCACAACCTGGCAAGACTTGCTCTCTTGTCTGTGTGATTTTAACTACTCTGACAGGTGTGAGGTGGTACTTCCTTGGGGTTTTGATTTGTATTTCTCTGATGAGCAATGGTGTTGCGCACCTTTTCATGTACCTGTTGGCCATCTGGGATGTCCTCTTTGAAAAAGATCTATTCGGGTCTTTTGCCCCCTTTTTTATTGGGTAATTTTGTAGTTTTTTTGCTGTTGAGTTGTATGAATTCCTCACATATTTTGGATATTAACCCCTTATTAGGTATCTTGGGTTAAGATATTTTTTTCTCTCCATGGGCTGCATTTTCATTTTATAAATGGGTTCCTTTCCTGTGAAACTTTTTTTAGTCCTAATGTAGTTCCATTTGTTTATTTTTATTTTTGTTGTCTTTGCTTTTCATGTCAAATACAAAAAATGATCGCCAAGACTGGTGACAAGGATCAAACCCTCTGTTTCTTTCCAGGAATTTTATGGTTTCAGGTCTTATGCTTGAGTCTTCAGTCCATCTTGGCTCCACTTGTGTTTCCAGATCAAAGCCCTATATATAATAAGCAGTGAGAACGCAGTGGCTTACTCATTGGGAGTTCCACCCTGATCCATACTCTAAGTAGGAGTCAGCAAACTACGGTCCACAGGACAAATACGGCCTACTGCATGTTTTTGTAAATAAAATTTTATTGGAACACAGCCCCGTCCATTCATTATGTACTGCCTAACGGCAGAGTTTACAACGTGTAACAGAGACCAGAGAGTCTGCAAAGTCTAAAATAGTTACTACCTATCCCTTTTCCATCAGTGCTGGCTGTGCTGGGTCATCACATAGATGTCACTAAATCACAGCGAGTCCTTCTCACCCCTCCCCCACCAAATTCTTGGAGTCCCAGAGTCAAGAGCAAGAGCACAGCAATGCCATGGGACAGAGTATATGTGCAACAGCCAAATGTCTTTAACAATAAATGAGTAAGTCTCAGGTTGGTTGTTTTTTTTTTTTAAGATTTAATTTACTTATTTGAGAGAGAGAAACAGGGATAGGAAGAGAAAACATAAGCGGCGGGGGGAGAGAAACAGCCTCCCCACTGACCAGGGAGCCTGACACAGGGGTTGATCGCAGGACCCAAAGTTCATGACCTGAGCCATCAGGTGCCCCAAATTCTCAGTTTTTTGATAAACATTTCATATTTAGTAAGGAATAATCAACAAAATACTCAGGTAATTAAAGCTACATTTTGAAAAGCAGTAATTTATTATGTAAAATTCAATGTAGGAAAAGTACCATAACTGGAATTCGAATCCATAGCAACTAAAATTATTTAATATGTGGTCCAAAGCATAGTACCAAAATACATTAATGTTTAAAAAATTCACTAACATTAAAAAATACTGTGAACACATAATTGCAGAAAGCTCCATTAAGTCCTTTCAAAAATAAAATGGCCTCAGACTGCAAAAAGGAAAACCCCAGATGCTGTACCTAAGTTATCCCTGTCTCCAAATAATGCCCTTATGTTACCTCAGCAGCCCTTACGTAACAGCAGTTATACAGCACGAGCAGCACACCCACCAAGAGACTGTGAAAAAAGTCAGTGGCCAAACTGTTGAAGGGGCAATACTTCAAGCTGTGGACTTCACGTGGTGGCAACGCTCCTGTCCTAGGGGCTACAGCACGCAGACGTCAGAGAATGCTCCCGGCCCGCATCACAGGTGTCTGGATCACCAGCTTACAATGGCATGAGCGCGGCTCCCTCCCCTTTTTTAAAGTACAGTGCACGCGTGCGCACGCGCGCGCACGCGCGGGGACACACACACACACACACACACACACACGAGATCCAGATCCCAACAGATCACTTACTTACAACTGTGTAGAACTCAAAGTACAGGTTATTCCCACAACATGTTTCAAGTGCTTCAGAGTTCACACTGGTACAATACTAATTTTCTTCCCTGTTTTAATTATACTTTCTACTTTTCAAAAGAGATTATCTGTTCTGTTTTGGCTAAACAGTATATACTAGTTTATACTAAAAACAGTAAGATCTAGGACAACTTCTCAATTTTTTAACAGATTGCTTCTTTCTTAAGAATGGTTTCTAGATGTTTCTATACCACATTTATATTTCTAGTTTCTGATTTCTTTGTAAGGAGTAAACGTACCTTGAGAGTTATACTCGAGGCTAATTGATGCACTTCTGGATGCCCTTTCTAACCCATGAAACGCCGAATGGGAGCGTCCCACCAAGCGTGCGCGCGGACTCACCCTGCCTCTTCACTCTTCTGGGAACCAGCCCACGCCGAATCTTCAGCCTCGCCCCTGCTCCCATCACGGCCCTCCACGGAGACTCGCCCACCAGTTTCTCGTGCTCGGATGCGAGCTCCTGGCTGGTACAGCTGCAAGGCTGGCCGGTCCTGCCAGGACAAAGGCGGGGGGCAGTTACCCTTCCAAAGGCTGGCAATATAGGAGGGAGCAAAATGCCTCTACTTCCAGGATCTGATGATCCTAATTAGCTAAAGGAAATCAGTCTTGCAGCTAAAAATCTGCCTTTTTCACATCACTATCTCAGACACCAGGCATTTTGAAGCAAAAAAAAAAGCCATGAAAAGGAAGACAGTTAATATTTAAAATAACCTGAAAGAAGGTAAAATTAGTATCTGGGAAAATGTTATCTCAAACCCAGAACACCCCCAGAGCCAGTGGAGTCAAGGCATTCCCCTCCCAGGTGGAGAGGTGAAGATTTACACACACGTCTCAGCCCCTCCGACTCATCAGGCAGGGTAAACGCACAGCCTGAGACAAAGCAAGGCATGGCCAGAGGTGGCTTTTAGGGTCATGAGCCAAATTAATAACATCTATAATGAGCAGTTTCCATGTGGCTTATTCCTGAACTTTCTCCACCTGACTGAACTCTGAGTAGAGGAACACAGTGATGCTTGAATAGAGTGTGTAAAAGGGGCGTCTGTGTGGCTCAGTCACTGAGCGTCTGCCTTCAGCTCAGGTCACGATCCAGGGTCCCGGGATGGAGCCCCATGTTGGGCTCCCTGCTCCCTACTCCCCCTGCTTGTGTTCCCTCTCCTGCTGTGTCTCTCTCCGTCAAATAAATCAATAAAATCTTTGAAAGAAAATAAAGTGTGTAAAATACTACTGAACTGTTTCAGGACACCAGGATGGTGAGGCCAGGGAAGGACCAACGGACACTGAAGGTTAAGGATCAGGAGCACCAGTGGGAAGCCAGCCAGCTCTGCCCTGTAGGAGAGGGGGATCAACCAACCTGGGCTCAGGGAAGCCTCCTGCACCTGCACCCCTTCCCTTGGCCACCTGGGGGCCCAGGCACATCCCGCATGATGTCGCTCACCAACTCACCTCTACCCACCCGCAGGCCCCACCGTCACCACCAGGGCATTTACCGGCATGCCCTTTTCCTTAGCGGAAGCTAAGAAGAGAGCGGGAGAGGTCTGGGCAGGGCGGTGGGTCTGAATCCCTGTGCACACAGAGGCACAGGGGTCCCATGCCATCTGCTGCCTGTGGCCAACACACACCGTCCTGCTTTTCACCAGGACAACACTGGCTGCACGGATGGAGAAAGGACACCATAACCAGCCAGGCCTCATACAAAAGGTGCCATTATGCACAAGGCACCTTATTACGTCCAGAGCCTCCCAGTTAACCGAGAGGAGTCCCAACACCTAAAGATATGCAAATACAGACCACTCACTGCTGCATCAGAAGGCAGCTGAGACACAGTGTTCATGAAACAACTCCCACCCAAAAGACCCACCGCTAGACCTGCTGTACCTGCACTTCAGGTAACTACAGAAACCTCTGAGTGATACAGACGTGGTTAGTCAGGCTGCAGATAAGACGGCTCCCCTCGGGGCGCCGGGGGGCTCAGTCATTGGCATCTGCCTTTAGCTCAGGTCATGATCCCAGGGAACTGGGATCGAGCCCTGCGTCAGGCTCCCTGCTCTGCGGGAGGCCTGCCTCTCACTCTCCCATTCCCCCTGCACATCCCCCCTGTTTTTCCCCCCACCCCGCTCTTTAAAAAAAATTAAAAAAAAAAAAAAAAAAAAAAAAAGGCTCCCCTCTTGCCAGTAGCTCTACCTTGCCTTTACTGGGAACACTTTAAAAAACCACATCACTGATACCAGCAACACCTTGGGTGGATCTGAAGGGAATTCTGCTGAGTGAGAAAGCCAATTTCAGGTTACACACTGTATGCTTCCACTTCTAAAGCACCCCTGAAATGACAAAATCATGCAGACAGAGGACAGCGTGCTTGTTGCGGTCAGAGATGGGGTGGCAGGAGGGTGTGGACAGCAGCCCAGGGAGCCTCGGAGCCCTCGGTCATCGGGTGGTTGGGTGGTGGGGGGACTGGCTGCACCATGGGGTCTGGCCCTGGAAGGGAGGGGACTCCATCAGTGGTGCTTCTCTGCAACAATGTGATCTGAACAAAAATTAACCTCAAACTCTTGGGGGGAAAGAAAGCCATTTGGTGGTCTAAGTGGACAATTCCAACCCTTCTACATGCATCCAACTACACGCATCTGACGCATATTTATGAGCCACTGACTGTCTCCTGATAACCAGTTTGTTACGAATAACATAAGAGAAAGCTCCAGAGTGTCATGAAATGCAAGCTCCTGGGCAATGCACTCCCTGAGAGCGCAGAACCCAGTAGGGGCAGACTTCCCACTGTCAGAGTGTGTGATCCGAAATCTCAAGACTCCTAATGTAGATTTCTCGGTTTCGGCTAAACAAAGGAACTTCTGTTTGGCAAAGCAGGTGTAAGCCTACAGATGTGCAGTTTACACTTTTAAGGCTGATGAATGAGCGAACAAAAGAACCTTGTTTCCTGGACGCTCCACTTTGGATGCTGGGCCGCCTTCACTACTGTGCTCTCTCCCGGGCCACTCTGCTGCCTCCACAGGGACGCCACTGTCCTGTTTCCCCTTCTTCCCTGTGTCTGGGAGGACTCCTTTCCCCCATTTTGGCTCTTCTTCGTTTCTCCTTGAAAACTTGTCGAATTCACAGTGAGCTCTGTGCTTTCTGCTGTCGTCCACGTGGCATCTTTGTGTTTCAGGCTCTTTTTCTCGAAACCTTCTCTCCATCTCCCTTTGCTCTTTATCACTGTCATTCTGTGACCTGTGATATAATACAAATTCTCAGTAACCTTAGTTAGGTATACTGCGTGTCGAGTACCTGTCTTCCCATCCAGACTACAAGTTACCAAAGAGGCAGGGATGCGCGTCGCAGGGATGCACGTAATGGGCACAGCACAGGCATTCAAGAAAAAATTGTTGAAAGATGAATCGACAATAATAACACAATATCTACTGTTAACCCTAAACGACATACATAACAGGCATATATACTTAGTTTTCTAATTCTCAGTAACCCCCCCAAAGTAAATATAACTCCCCACTTTACAGATAAAGTCCAGGAGACCAAACGGCTCAAGTGACTTTCCTAGTGGCCCAAGTCCACATCCATCAAGACACAGAGCTGATATTGATGGCTTGGTTTCTGCCTCAGGTGTAGCTAAAATTAACTGCAATTTACTCATTTTTATACATATATTACACTGGTAAATGTACAAAAAATAAGTAAGTGGCTGCTTAGCTCTTTTGGTTCTTAAAGTTTTTCCCTTCACAACCCACAGGTAAAAATCCTCACATGCGATCTGTGGCTTCCCCTCAAAACAAAAGCAGCAGGACTGGTGGGGAGAAGAAGGTCCATAAGCAAAGTGTAAATCCATGCCAGAAACATGACAAAAGGCACTGATATAGTATCATAAGCCATAACACAAATGCCTCCAGCAGAAACCATAGTGCTAACAGATCATAGATTTCATAATCATGTATGAATTAATTTTACAAACAAACCAATAAACCAGAACCCCCAAAAAGAGGAAACCTTTTTTTCTTTTTTTTAATCACAAGTCTGTGTGGGAGAAAGACAGTAAGAAGTCATTCAGATTGCTGTTTCTAGGAGGCAAACGGCAGCCTAAACCCATGACCCTGCCATCCTGCCTGCAAACGTAAATTCACTTCCAGACACCTCAGAAGCAGAACAGCCCTGGCTCTGGGAAGCTCCAGCGTGTCCTGATGCAGTGCGTGCGCAGGAGCCCTGGGCCAGGGGAACAAGGAGCCTCAATACACTTTGCCCCATGGACTGTGGAGATGATCGAACCTTGAGGCTCAGGGGCAGGCTCAGAGGCAGGAGGGAGGGGCTCCACCTGACAAGGTTCTGACAGGTCTCTCTGGCCCCTGTGCAGAAACTGTCTGTCCCATTCCCACAGAAGCCCTGCTTGAGCTCCTTTCATGAGCAGCATGTCACAAGCAGGCCGAGAAGTACAAGCCCAAGGACCCACAGCCTGAGACAGGCAGGGCTAAGTGAAGACCAGGATCCACAGCTGCTGGTCAAATTCCACAGAAGGGCCACAGGGATGTTAACACCAACAAAGGAATCCTAGCACTTGGACAAGAGAGCACGAAGGAGATCCTGAAGACCTAAAGGGCGATAACGGGAATCCAAAGGAAGAGGCCAGGACAGGCACAGCTAAGCAACCTGGAGAAGGATGTGTCCCTGCTTGGAAGACAGACTTGAAGCTGCAGATAAAAGGAACTAAGTTCCCAGTATGACCAAGGAGAAATAAAGGTGTGGAGGAGCATATCGTGGTAAAATCCCTGAATTCCATAAGCAGTATGAAATACAAGCACTTGTACCAAGACAGGACAGTCTGTGATCCTTCACGTGGTCAAAGCAACAGAAGCGCGGGCTTACTTTCCCCTGGGCTCCTCCACCAAGCTCCCAAAGGGCGTGGGCTTCAGGACAGCACAGCCAGCACAGGGCTCCCGTTTTCCATCTCCAATATCCACTTCCTCTGCTCTTTCTTTTGGCTTTTCAGTTGGTTCCTCCCCCTTTTCCGGTTTCTTAAGAAGCTAAGAAATTATAATGTCAGGAGAATGTCACTTTTGGAGTATTTTATAAATGAAGATGTTTAATAATAAATTAAAAATAGAAAACAACATTGAGCGCAAATGTCTGGATAGCAAAAAAATGTGAGCCAAAGGTGCAGCAACCAGGTTTTTGGTTAAATACTGAGGGGAACATTCAGTCAATGAAATACTATAGTTATGAAGAACGATTTAGGACAGCTGATGTGATGAGAAGACGTTCTTATTGACGAATGAATGCCCTGGTCTCTATTTATATGTTTACACACACAGAAAAACACCTAAAAGGCTGGCAACACTGTGTTAATAGTGATGATTTTTAGGCGGTGGTGGAACTGCAATGACCTTCTTTCCTTTTATCACCAAATTCTAGTTTTTTCTAAAATGAACAAGTGCTGCTTTTGTAATATGTAAAAATATATTGTTTAAAATGTTGCTTTTATACTGATGACTTTTAGAATAACCTTTTTGAAAACACGTCTTATTCTTACTTTAATCAGCCTGAGCAGGTTGCTGTCTTTGAATCTGGGCCTTCCCCCAATTCTCTGCGTAGTTTACTCTTTGAAATTCAAGTGCCACAGGTAAGTCAGTTTATAAAACAAAAGTAGAAGGCAGGGACGCCTGGGTGGCTCAGTTGGTTGGACGACTGCCTTCGGCTCAGGTCATGATCCCGGAGTCCCGGGATCGAGTCCCGCATCGGGCTCCCAGCTCCACGGGGAGTCTGCTCCTCCCTCTGACCTTCTCCTCCCTCACGCTCTTTCTCACTACCTCTGTCTCAAATAAATAAATAAAATCTTCAAAAAAAAAAAAAAAAAAGTAGAAGGCATACTTTGGAAATTTTTTTCTAACTTATAAAAGTGAGCATATTTTAAATTGTACTAGAGCAAAACTACACACAAATTTCAACTGCATGAGTTCATTTAAGAATGAAACAGAGAAAATGTAAGACCAAATATGGAAAGTTGCTTCTCATCACAGATGTGCACTATGCTAACGTACATGCTCTTATTCTGCCTGTGGGGTCTGTGAATTTAAACATCTCCTTTCAGATATCTATTGATATTTATGTTTTAAGGTTTTATTTATTTATCTAATAGTGCACGCACAAGGAGAGGGAGTGGCAGGAAGAAGGAGACGCAGACTCCCCGCTGAGCAAGGAGCCTGTACTTGCAGCTAGATCCTAGGACCCTGGGATCATGACCTCAGCCAAAGGCAGACACTAAACCGAATGACCTACTCAGGCGCCCCTATTGACATATATATATTTTTAAAAGATTTTATTTATTTATTTGACAGAGAGAAACACAGTGAGAGAGGGAACACAGAAGAGGGAGTGGGAGAGGGAGAAGCAGCCTCACGCTTGACAATTGAGCTACCCAGGTGCTCCGACATATTTTTTAATTAAAAAGGTAACATATACTGGTAATAAAAGTAAACCACAGGGAAGTATAACAGTTTATGTTTCCACCCATCCATCCAACAAATAATTTTGTGCATCTGTGAATCGTTTTTTACCTCCAACTCTTCTGAAACCAAATGTGTGGTGTCCTTTCCAACACCATTTCTCCAGCCCTCCAACACAGACTTGGGCGTCCTATAATTCCATTCAGTTTTGACACTAGCTACCTGGAGTTAATGTCAGGTTGCACAAACCTGTCCCCACTTCAGACGTCTGAAGGTACCCATGGCCTCAGCCACCTGTCATCTCACTGGCATATGGAAGACACTCCAGAGACGGCAAGGATTCTAAGAGCTATGTGCCAGGAACCAGGGAAAAAGACTGTGTCGGGTACTAGGAATATAGTTGTGAATAAGAGACAAGTGCCCACCATGAAGGAATTCACAGGACGTTCTAGCTGAGGCAGCGGTCGCCATGGGGGGAGGGGAGTATGCAGTAACAAAATAGAAAAAGTGAACCAGATATTCTTAGGTGTCGTGCTACAAACATCTACCAAAACAGGAAAAAAGCACAGAGAGATGTAGGGTGAGGAGTGATGGCTTCTCAAGGGTGAAGTTCAGGGAGGGTCTCTCTATGGAGGTAAGACAGGATGAGGAAACACTTATAAGAAAACTTAAGTGTTGGGAGAAAGCTCCCCGTGGAAGGAAGCAAGCAGAGACCTAGCGTGAAATCAGACTGGCAAAGGGAGGAGGAGATAGGGAGGAGACAGGAGGGAGGAGAAGAGGGAGGGAGGGGAAAGGAGGGGAAGGAGGTAAGAGGGAGGGGGGAGGAGCCAGGCACCGGAGGAGGTGGAAGCAGATGCCATGTTTGTGTGTCCACCCAGCCCACATCTGTTTTTAATAAGTTTTGTGAAAAAGATCACACAACTTTATTAATAATGTAATCTATTTCCTATGCGATGTGTATATTCAGGAATTTTATTTGTAACTTTGGTAAACTAACTTCCTACTTCAACTTAAGCTCATTACTTAGTTTTAGAGTCCTCAGAGGAAAATAAAAACAGCTGGGTTGCTTATATAATAGTTTCCTTTATTGTTAAAAATAGCCATGAGGATCTCTCTCTGCAGGTGTCATTTTTTTTTTTAAACAATTTTTTTTTTTTTTTTTTTAGAGATTTTATTTATTTATTTGACAGGCAGAGATCACAAGTAGGCAGACAGGCAGGCAGAGAGAGAGGAAAGGAAGCAGGCTCCCTGCTGAGCAGAGAGCCCGATGCGGGGCTCGATCCCAGGACCCTGAGATCATGACCTGAGCCGAAAGCAGAGGCTTAAACCACCGAGCCACCCAGGCGCCCCTGCAGGTGTCATTTTTATGATATCAACACAAACTCTTTTAGCATTTCTTCACTGATTTTATTTTTCAGGTTAAAAAAATTTTTAATTCTCGAAATGATTTGTATATTAGATATCCCTCCAGCTAGTGAGCCCCATGTGACCACCTATAAGGAGAAACTGATTTAGAAGCAAAGGCCTAGAAAAAAGCTTCACCTCCCTTGAAGAAATGGCATGTTTTTTCCTCATGGATAATGAAACTGTTTCCCATCAAGCACATCAGAAACTAATCTATGATGGATAAAGATGTAAAACAAATATACATATATTCAAGTATACATGTTTATATACACATATATATTACATGAAAATATGCATACATGTATTTATGTAATCATATATTTATACATACATTCAATATACATGTATACATGTTTATATACACGTGTATATGTCATATATACGTGTATATATACATGAATATATGTATATGTGTATTTATATATTCGTATATATTCATACATACATTCAATATATACGCATACATGAATACATGTTTATATATACATGTATATATGCATGAAAATATCTATCTCCAATGGAATATTATGCAGCCATCAAAACGAATGAAATCTTGCCATCTGCAATAATGTGGATGGAACTAGAGGGTATTATTATGCTGAGCGAAATAAGTGAATCAGAGAAAGACAATTATTATATGACTATACAGTATCACTCACATGTGGAATTTAAGAAATAAAAGAAGATCACGGGGAAGAGAGGAAAAAATAAGACAAGATGAAATCAGAAAGGCAGACAAACCATAAGAGAAGATCATAGGAAACAAACAGGGCTGCTGGAGGGGAGTGGGGTGGGGGAGGGCTAACGGGGGGATGGGCAGTAAGGAGGGCATGTGATACAATGAACACTGGGTATTATTTAAGACTAATGAATCACTGAACTCTACCTCTGAAACATAATATACTATATGTTAACTGAATTTAAATTTAAAATATATATACATAAAAAAGAAACTAATCTATGGCTCATTTATGCCGACTCTGACCTCTTCCCCATCCTCTCCCTTTCTACTCTATCTTCCGTCAAGTCCTGATCTTTTATTTTCTTTCTTTTTAAGATACAATTTTAATGAACCCCTAAAAGTACTTCAAAGCCTTCTTGGAATGAAGGAAAATATATATTAGGTTGAAATCTAGGTTTGGTAAGGTCACCTGAGCAGATACTAACAAGGAGGGGGGACTCACACTGGAGCACCCTATTTTACATGGGGAAGAACTACTTCTGTGCACTAACCCACTCTTCTAAATGAACACATTAGTCAAAGGAGAAACTGGGCAAGAGGAACCACTGCTGGTACTGTAAAAAAAAAAAAAAAAAAAAAAAAAAAAGGTAAAACCCAATCCCAAGAGTGAACCTTCACATAGAAAGGCCAGTATACACTGAGCCAGTAGTTTCCAAATGTGTACATTTTAGGCAGGGAGTCTTTTCTCTAAAAGAAAATGTAAGCAGAAGCCCAATCTGTGACAAATAAGTGTGGGGTTCCTTTGGATGAAGTGCTGCCATCACATCCAAGAGGCCGGGCCCCTCCCCAACAGTATGCCCAAAGAATCCCCAAGGCTCAGGGAATACGGTTTGAGAACCACTGCTGTACTGCAGAGAAACGGAAGCATGATAGCAAAAGAGAAGGCTAACTGAAAATGTCCTTATAAGTTAGAAGAGCTAAATACCTGAAAGGCACAACTGTAGCAGAACTAGCTTTGGAAAAAAGAAATGAGCTGTTTCCTCAAAATTACCTTAATCCTTACTTCTCTCTCAGCAGCTCTCTTCTGTCTGTCTGCCTCTTTCCTCTTACACCTCTCCTCTTCTCTCTTTTTTCTCTTTTCTTCTTCCCGTAAACGCTTCTTCTCCAGCTCCCTTCTTCTTCGTTCTTCTCGCTTCTCTTCTCGAATCCTCTAGAGATGTGGAAAAGCATGTGTATAAATTATCTCTGTGGACATGGGCAGGGACAGGAAGGGACTCATCAGGTAAAGGGTGGACCTACCTGCTTCTCTAATTTTCTATTTCTAATATATTCCAAAAGAGGTGTGGTTCTTCTAGCTAAAACACAAAAATTGTAATATAGTATTCAACTTTAAAATAAGATTTCTTTTCTTCATCTTAAATACTTGTTTCCAATTTAATCTTTAGTCAGGCTGGCTATTTCGGAAGAGCATGCGACTCTTGATCTCGAGGTGGTAAATTCAAGTCCCATGTTGGGTGTAGAGACTACTTAAAAATACAATCTTATAAACCAATAAATAAAATTTAGATGAGCATACATTGTATTGGGGGGAATTCCTATTCCATCACTATAAAGTCAAGTAATTTGGAGGCACTGACAACTCTACAAATAGTAGGCAACGAATTCCTGATTCTCAAGGGAGTCTTGATATTACTTACAAAGATGCTATAAAAGCAAAAAAGAAGAATGAGTACAACACATTAGACTTCCCAAACACTATGAGCATCTTCCCATTTTTGCAGATATTTTAAAACATTACATAACATGGTTATAGATTCACTTTGATTCAACACATATTCTGGAAATTTCTTCCTTTTCTGCTTTCCAGACAATGATGTTAAACAATGTACATTCTTGTCATCTCTTGTATACACTCCACAAACCAAAATAACCAGATGTAAAAGTTTAGACAGTGACTCCCCAGGGTACTTCATCTAAGCAACACTAACCACCCAGGAATGAATCTCTCTGTAAACTCAACCTCAATCCTCAAGCTTTCATGCCCTGGATGTGTCTGATCTGCCCTGGAATTTGGTGCCCAAATACCAAATATGGCGGGCCTCAAGGCAGTCTCTCCAGGAGAGTGGTTTTGAGAAACATGTATTCTCCATGGCAGTGGCTCACAACGCAGGTGGGAAGTTGGAAGATGGTGTGGGTCTCTTCCACAGCTCTTTTAAGACCTTAGATTAAATGAGGGAAGGAAGAATCCCTGGATGCACTTGAAGACTGGCCATGAAATTTCCCGAATTCTGAGGATCTGGAATTAATCAGGAATTTTATAAGAGAGCCCCTGGGCAGGGATTCTTAACTTGGAATTAAGGACTCCTCAACACCTTGACATAATGTGTCAAATGGCTTCTGCCAGGAAAGCTCTGCCCCAGATTTAGGGCTGTGTAAATGTCCACATTTCATCACAGGTGCAGGGCCAAGAAGAGCCGATTACCTCCCTGGATGTCTCCTATGCTAATCACGAACTCTGGCTCAGGATGAGCACAGCTTATGCCCTCTGGAACAGGCAGTTGCCTCAAATTAGGGAGGACTCTTGCTCTGCACCATGGGAGTTTTGGACTTGTTGGCAAAGAGCAGGAACAAGACCTCCCTGGGTGACTGGAGAAGCTGACAAGATGCCACCCACCTACTCCCTTCGCCAATGAACTACCTGCCTTGTTACCCCAAAGGATGAATATGACAAGGGTAAATGAGACCCTGTATTAGAAAGTGCTTTACAAACTATAAAAGTGTATCATTTGTTAAACAGAAGGTGCATGGCCATGTTATACAACGCTAATTTAACCAACAACCTAACTGCTACCACTTACAGAAAGCTGCTGCATCCTGGGCACTGTCATGATGACCTGGGAGGACATGGGGATGCTAAGTCTCAGGGCGGGAAACTGAGCCCAGGTCTGTCTGCTCTACAGACCCTGCTATGCCACTGTATTAACCTGCAGCTTCAGAGGGAACTAATATTTCCATTTATTAAATAAAAGGAAATTATGGAATTTCAATTATGGAAATTAGTATTTCCAACCCTCATTGCTCTGACTAGATCACAGAATCCAGTAAAGGCCAAAATCTAAGAAAAGGGCAATTTGCCTTGAATTGCCAGATTAAGATCCAAACTTTGATGGGCAAACAGGATCACAGAAACAAAGCTCCACAGCCTCATTCTGGGCTACTAATTGTGAATAGCACTTACTTATCCCATAAAACACTACAATGCACCTACTGTGCACCAGGCACTGGGAAAGGGGCTGGGGATGGGAGAGGATATCTCTCCAGGGTTGGGGGGGGTTGTCTGGCCACCAAGGACTATCTCAAAACTGCCCACAATTGGAAGACCCTGGTCCTTTTCTGTGGTTATCCTATACAAGAGAATTTACAGCAAGGTGCAGGGGGCGGGGGGTGGGGAGTACTATAAATAATTTCTAAGCTGCTTTTCTTTTTTTTAGCTCTTCTTAAATTTAACATGTTCTACAGTGATATCCTGATTCACTTCCAGTAATGTTTCTTCCCTCCCCAGTCTGCCCCTGTCAGTAATGGTGCCTCCACCCACTGATCTGTTCAAGTCAAACTCCTGGAGGCCTGAATTCTTTCTGTTTCCTTTCTTCCCACACCTAATCTGCCAGAGCATATGCAGACTCTGCCGGCTAGTGTAAGAAGCCCTCCCTGGACTGGAGCAAAGTCTCCCCACTCCCCAAAGCCTGGTGTTTCCTCAGGGCATCCACAATCCATTCTGTATGGAGCAATATGCATGCAGTGATGGGGGAAAACTAATCAGGCTCCCTTAGCAGTCTCAGCTATCTCTCAAACTCCAAATCTCTTCCCCACCTGCCTCTCCAGCCACTCTACCCCCGACCCACCACATATCAACCACATAGGAATATATCCTGTTCCTACAGGCCTGCAGCTCAGCTTCCACCTCGGTCTCTAGTCCCTTCTTCTTCCATGTCTTAGCAGGGCTTCTCTCAGAGGGCCTTTCCCTCCCAGGACTGTTTCATCACACTGTGGCACTGATCACACGGACATGCCCTGGCTTAAAGCCTGATTACTGCTGCAGGTGTTTACTTCAGTTTTTCCCATGAGCAGGGCAGATATCTGACGGCACAGGCCTCGTGTGTCCCATTCATGCTCACCCTGCACACCTACGCTGAGTCAGTATCCACCCAACCCGTGCTGACCAAAAATGATCACATGCATGCTAAGCAAATCTTCATAAGTATTAACTTTAGTGATTAAAAATCCTTTGCACTACACACGCAGTAAACCAACTGCTACAAAATATAAAACTCCATTCTCCACTCCTCACCTGGGAGCATCATAACTGTGAACAAATAAATGTAACTAAAACCTCTGGTGCTCTCCCTTAGTGGACTGGACAGATGCTCAGAAATATTTTTCCAGGTTGCCATAATTTTTTTACAACCAGAAAACACTCTACATCCCTGCTAAGCCTGTCACAAGTGTGAATTTTTAAATAATCCTGAAAAGGAAATAAATATATATCTCAGCAAGTAAAGAGAAGAAATGAGCAAACCAATAAGTTCTCTAGTCTTTGCCTCTATGTCTCCCAGGAGAGTTTCAGGATTGGCATTAGGTTTCTCTTCCTCCACACAGTAAGTTTCCAAAAACTTCTTATATTCTGGATCTGTAAATTAAAAAAGAAGAAAAGAAACATACTCCTTCCCACATACGGGAGAGGAATTATATTTGATTGGTGTATTTACTCTGGCGGTTTCATAATGCAGCCTTTGTAAAGGGACTCACCATCTTCAATGCTTCCAGTTTTGGCATCTTTTTTCTTTATTTTCTTTTTGGCTATCTTCTGGAATGGGGCAAACTCTACCACCGCAGGATATTCTAGGCCTTTAACAGAAAACAAATTGCAAAAACCATTCTAAAATTCCACTATATTCATTTTGGAAAATAATGATTTAGATTTCTTTCTTTTTGCGGGGGGAGATGGGGAGGCAGAGGGAGAGAGAATTTTAAGCAGGCTCCATACCAGCAGAGCCCAACATGGGGCTCAATCCCATGACCCTGAGACTAGAGCCAAAATCAAGAGTCAGATGCTTAACTGACCAAGTCACCCAGGTGCCCCGTGATCTAGCTTTCTTAAAGATTGACCATAACAACTTTACTGTTTAAACTATTATTTTCAAGTACCTGCAAACTTAGCATGTCAAACTCCAGATATGACCAAAGGACGAGTACTTACTTATTAAAGAAAATGATTTCTCACGTTGCAGTAGTGGTTACATAACTGAGTGCATTCAGAATTCATCAAGCTTCACACCTTAAAATGTCAATAAACCCTTCTCTCCATTCCTAAAGAGTTTATCATAGAATTCCTTTAACTAGGTTCGTCAGTCACTTTTTTTTTTAATTTTAAAAGGTTAATTCAAATGATCAATCTGTTATATGAATTCAAGGGAATTATTATGCTTAGAAGAGATACTTGGCTAAAAGAGGGGCCTCAGAGGGAACACGCAATACTCAGACAAGGTTTGCTTCAAACAGAAAAGTTCAGAACAAAAGCCAAGAGAAACTGATTTGGTTATTACGTGTGGGTGCGTGGGAGTGGGGTCCAGGGAACATAACGAGAAACGTTCACTATTTACTTAACTGATGGAACACTTCCATGTTGGTACTGAATCCTTTATCCTTGTCAGGAATGGTCAGGTGACCATGATATTGCAACTCTTATTTATCTGGACAATAATCTTGTGTTAACCTTAACTATTCAGAATAAAGTCAAGGACCAGCAGGAGAGCAGGGCTTTGGACAGTCAGGAACAATGTCTGATTCCCTGCTGCACCCACATGACTAGTACCTAGATATTTACTAAGTAGGAGTTGACACACTTCCTGACTTCAAAACTTCTTACAAAGCTATGGTAATCAAAACAGTATGGTACTGGCATAAAAGAAGAAACAGATCGATGGATTAGAACAGAGAGCCCAGAAATAAATCCTCACATACATTATCAAATGGTTTTCTATGAGGGTGCCAAGGCTATTCAATAGGGAAAGGACAGTCTTCTTTAACAAATACTGCTGGAGGGCACCTGGGTGGCTCAGTCAGTTAAGTGTCTGCCTTCTGCTCAGGTCATGGTCCCAGAGTCTAGGGATCGAACCCTGTGTCAGGCTCCCTGCTCACTACAGAGTCTGCTTCTCCCTCTGTCCTTCATATTGCTCATGCTCTCTCTCTCTCTTGCTTGTGCGCTCTAATAAATAGAATCATAAAAAAAAAAAATACTGCTCAAGAAACTGGATATCCACATGCAAAAGAATGAAGCTGGACTCTTACCAGATACCACAGACAAAAGCTGACTCAAAATGGGTCAAACACCTAAACATGAGACCTAAAACTTTAAAACTCTTGGAAGAAAACAAGGAGGAAAAGCTTGACCTTGAATTTGGCAATGATATCTTAGACGTAACGTCAAAAGTGCAGGCAACTAAAGTAAAAACAGAAAAACTGGACCACATCACATTAAAACCATCTGAGTGTCACAGAATATGATCAACAGAATATAAAGGCTACCTATGGAATGGGAAAAAAATCATACATCTGATGAGGGGTTAAGATCTATAATATATACCAAAAAAAACAAACAAACAAAAAACTACAACTTAACAAGAAACAAATAACTCAATTTAAACATGGGCTTTCCTCCAAAGACATACAAATGACCAAAAATCACACAAAGATATTCAAAACCACTAAGCATTAGGGAAACATAAGTCAAAATCACAGTGACATACTATCTCATACCTATTATGAGGTCTGCTATCAAAGAAACAGAAAACAGCAATAGGTGGGAGGATGTGGAGAAACTGGAGGCCTCATGCCCAGATGATGAGGATACAAAATGAAGTAGCCTCTAAGGAAAACAGTATGGCTGTTCCTCAAAACATTAAAAACATACTTACTATATGATCTAACAATTCCACTATGGTTATACCCAAAAAACCTGAAAGCAGAGTCTCAAAGAGATACTTGTACACCATGTTCACAGCAGCGCTATTCATAACAGCAAAGAGCTGGAAGCAACCAACGTGTCCACTGACAGATAAACAACTTGTGGCATATACCCACAGTAAAGTATTATTCAGCCTTAAAAAGGAAATTCTGAGACATGCTACAGCATGGGTGAACATAGAAGACACCATGTGATGTAAAATAAGCCAGTCACAAGAAGAGAAATGCTATCTGATTCCACTCATATGAGGTATGTAGACTAGTAAACTCATTTAAAAAAAAGAAAGAAAGGAGAATGCCAAGGGCTACGGGTCAGGGAGAGGTGGGGAATTATTTAAAGAGTCCAGAGTTTTAGTTTTGTAAGATGAAGAGAGTTCTGGAGATGGGCTGCACAACAGTGTGAATGTACTTAACACTACTGAACTGTGAGGAATGCCTGGGTGGCTCAGTAAGTTGAGCACATAGAGCATCTGACTCTTGGTTTGGGCTCAGGTCATGATCTCAGGATCGTGGGACTGAGGCAATGGCCTCTGCGCTCAGGCACAGAGTCTGCTTGTCTCTCTCCCTCCGCTTCTGCTTCTCCCTTCACACGTGTGTGCTCTCTCTCAAATAAATGAAATCTTAAAAAAAAAAAAAAAACTAAGATGATAAATTTATGTTATCTTTACCATAACTTTTTGAAAAATAAAGGAAAAAGGCACTTGAACAAAGAAGGATTCAACACAAACATCGAATAGTTCAAGATTACATCTGCTTCTCCTCACAGGACAGACTCTCTTGGCCTCAGCCTAGTCACTCTTCAAGGCTATTTTGTTAGCTCTCAGTGAGGAAGAAAACACTTATCACCAGTGGAGTTGGGTGCAGTGGGAGGAGTTTGGTTGGTGAGGTGGATACAGAGAATACGCTCTTACAGGTGTAGAGGCTTGGTCACAATGGACACAACAGGTGACAGTCTGACGGGAAGGAAGACAAAGGCAAGATCCAAAAAGCACAGAGAACCAGAACCATTTAGAGTGGAGGTAAATATCCCTGTCTCAGCAGGCAACGCTGTTCAACAGAGTCAGAAACTTAAGTTCATTATTACAATCCCCTCCCCCATGACATTGTCCAGTAATGGTAAAATTGAGGAGTGCTCTGTTTAACATTCTTATTTTTTAAATTTTTTTCAAGGTGTAAGTTTACTTATTTTATGGGTGCTGGACTGTTCAGTCGGTTAAGCCTCTGCCTTCACCACAGGTCGGTCATGGGATTGAGCCCTGCCTGGGGCTCTCTGCTCAGTGGGGAGCCTGCTTCTCGCTCTCCCTCTGCCTGCTAATTCCCTTGCTTGTGCTCTTTCTCTATCAAACAAATAAAATCTTAAATAAAAAGATGATTTACTTATTTTAGTGTGGGAGGAGGGGCACAGAGAGACAGAGAGAGAGACTCTTAAGAAGCCTCCTCATTAAATGCAGAAGCTGATGCTGACAGCATGACCTGAGCCAAAATTAAGAATCACATGCTTAACTGACTGAGCCGCCCAGGTGCCCCAAGATTACTCTGTTTAAAAAGACAGAAATGTAAGTGAATAATATACTTTAGAAAATTTCTGTTGCACAAGAGTAAAGTGATTTGGTTTTGGAACATAAGAAAGTGAAAAACCCACTTATATGAAAAACAATATATATATATAAAATATATATATACATAGGTTGTCTCTGATACAAGGAATTGATGGGAGTTCTTTGGTTTATGTATCTTAATTTTCAACGTAAGCACATAACCACAGCAATACAATTGAAATTTATGAGCTTATTTTACACTGGTATCCGAGAACTTATTTATAACTCACAAACATTTCCAGCAAAACTTAATTAAGGTACTTGGAGACTATATTAAAGAGTTTAGAAAGCCAAAGATCCAACCTTTACTGTCGATGAAGATATAGCCATCGAAACGATCTCTAAAAAGAAGGATGTCATCAGGATTTCTAAAATTAATGTATGCTCTTGAGTAAAGATGAGGATAAAGACTGAAATAAGAGAGAACAGTGAAAACAGTTAGTAAAAAATGTAAGACTTCTTTAATTTTGCTTCTTTTTCTTTTACAGATACAACAAACTGAAACCTATACGTCACAGAATACCTCAGCTAATTGTAATCTGGGTATTCTTTAGCAAAAAAACAAAACAAAGCAAAACACACACACACACACACACACACACACACACACACACACAATAAGGAAACATTACCCAAGATCTTTTTAATGACTTGGGAAAGACGCTTAATGTCAGTATCTTTACTACAAAGAACCAGGCTTAAAATACTGGTTTTCCACGGCTGAAAACCAAAGGCAAGGTCATTCAAAGGTCATTCCGTATCACACATCAGGACCGGAGGCAACCGAGCTGGGATCATTCGTAGATGCAAACGTGGCATCGCACGAGGGAGCCTCCGCTGACCCCGCGAACACCTTTAGGCACTCTAAAGGGGTCGAAATTGCAGCGCACGATATGGCGACTGCCAAGAACTAAGCTTTCTCCTCCACCTCACAACCCACTTCCTTCGTCCGCAGGAACTTCCAGCCCCTTCCACAGAGGAGAACACTGAGGCTCAGACAAGCTCAGCACGTGCAAAGGGGGCAGCCCGTTAAAAGCTGGCGCTGGGACCGCGACCCGCGTCACTCCGGGGCCACCGCCTGTTCTTCAACCGCGCCAGTTTTCTTAAACTTCAGTCACTCGAAGCGCATCCATTCTTCTTTGAAACCAAACCCGCCCTTCCCCGTTAGTGGTCTCTTCGACGGGACCGAGCCTTGTCACTTGTGCGCTCGGCAGGCCTCACGCGGCTCCGAGGATAACAGGGTACCGCGACGGCCCAGGGCGCGGTGACACCGCGAACCGCAGCGTGCCCGCGAACTGCCCCCGCGGGACGTCTAACCCGAGGTCCGCGTCCTCTGCTCGGGAGAGAAGCCGCGGGCGTTCGCGCGTCCTCGGCGTGCCCCTCCTCCGCGGCGCGACCGGGAGCCCGAGGAGAAGCGGAGGTGTAGGGCGGGCGTGGCGGAGGCGGGCGCGGGGCACACGGGTCTGAGCCTGGACACGGGCTCCCGCTCCGGAGCCGCACGCTCTGCCGCGGGAACCGAGCGAGCGAGCCCAGGTCGGCCGGCGCGGGCGGGCAGACGCGGACACGGCTTCCGCCGCTCCACAGCCGCACCACAGCCGCACCCGCGTCTCACTGCAGGCCGCGTCTCCCTCAAGCCGCGTCTCACCTCAAGTCGGCCGTGAAGAACTCGAAGTAGTCGTGCGCGGGCAGCGGGTGCAGCTGCTCCTCCAGCTGCTCCTTGGTGAGGCCGGGAGGCAGCCGCCGGATCACCACCTGAGGAGACGACGGACGGGGGGCTCGGCGGCCGTCCCCGCGCGTCCGTCCCGCAACGCCGCCTGCGCTCGGGCTCCGCGGGGCGCTGCGGCGGGCGTCCGGCGGAGACGGCCCCCGTCGGGAAGGCCCAGAAGTCCGCGCGCGGACACGGCACGGCCGGCAGAAAGGGCTGCGCCTCACACAGCCCCTGCCTCCGGAACCTCGACGACGGTGCGCAGGACCGGACCGGACCACCCCCGCGGACCTTGCCTGCCCCGGGCGCAGCTCTTCCTCCCCACGCCAGGAAAGGCCGCGTGAGGCCGGGCGGCAAACGGTCCCCGTCAGTCCGCTGTCCGCGGTGCTGAAGCTGCCGGCCACCGCCTTGCCCCCTCGGCTCCTCCCCAAACCCCGAGTCCTCCACGCCTTCGCGCAGGACCCTCCCTCTTCTCGCGAGCTTTGCCCGCTCACTCGCCTCCGGAACACACCACCCTTAGCTCCGCCCCCCGCCTCCAGCAGCATCCCGCCCACCCTTGGCTCCGCCCCACCTCGCTCAAGAGCACCCCTCTTCTCGCGAGGTTTGCACGCACCTCTCCGTTTTTGCTTCGACCCACCCTGTTGAAGACCCTCCTCCTATCGCGAGGTTTGCCTGCCCCGCCCCTTCCCCAACCTTGCTCAGAACTGTCTTCTTCTCCTCGCGAGGTTTGCTTGTACTGCCCCCACAGCCGAAGGACGAGGCTGGTGGCACCTCTGGTTCTCGCCGCGGCGACTCCCGGCGGAATTGGACTTCCACAGCAGACACCTTTTCCCTCCCGCTCGGGCCCCGCGCGGCAACGGCCGCCCCGGAGCCTCCCGCCCCCTCCTTCTCTGAGCGCATCTTGCACCCGCTGCGGAGTCAACGCTGCCTCCCACCCGGGGCCGAAACGTCGCGAGAACTGGGCCACCGCCCCTCCCCCCGACCCATGATGCTCCACGTCCAGCACCCCACCCCCCCACTGCCCCACCAACGCCCCAGGGCCGCGGGCTTGCAGCGAACCCGAACTTCTAGACCCGGAGTGCACAGAGTCAGAAAACCGCGACGGGCGCGGGCACCCGGGCCTCGGGACGGTCTGGGGGCGGCTAGGCGTGGGAAGGCCTCGCCCAGTAGCCGGTCAGCGGGAAATCAGTGACCAGCAAGGGGACTCGATCACAGGACCCCAAGATTAAGACCCCCGCCGAAGGCAGACGCTCGACTGACTGGGCCACCGAGGTGCCTGCCCCTCAGTAACAAGGTTCTAAGAAATGGTTTCACAAAAGTCACAGAATTTTAGAATTCAGGTTTGACGAAATTATTCTGAAAATAAAATCTAATACAAATTTCAGGATCTAGTGAATGAAATATACTTGTAAAATAGCTTAAGATTTTATATAAGAAATAAGTATATCACAAAATCTAGCTTCCTAGACGTCATCACCGAGCCTATAAAAATGTTTTACATACACTAGAACTACAGACAAAATAAAGCCAAATAATCTCCAAATGTCAGGAGCATAAAGTGAATGAATAAAGTAGGTTAACTCTGCCACACATGAATGTGGTCCTGGAGTAAATGCCGGTCACATTTTACTTGGGAGCACATCTAACTGGTAATGGCAGTGGGTACCATATTCCTCTGAAAGTAGCAGTACAGTCACTTTGAAGTTGGCAAGAAGGATGCCTGTTTAGGAAGCTACCATTGTAAGAGTACAAAATTGGACAATAATAAAAAAATACTTGACAGTACAACTACACATTACCTTTCTCTGACACTCTCTGAAGCCTAAACATTGGCATTAACTGCTGATCTGAAAAACAGCTTGGCTCCTGCCTTTTATTTCTTAAAGCACTGACAATATGGTAATGGCTCCTTTATCAGGACTGTGGTTTTTCAGATACGTAAAAAAAAATCATACCACATGATCAGTGAAGAAATTACACAAAGAAATATTTTGGTCTGGAAGGCAAAATAAATGTGAAAACTATTACTATTAGTACCTTAATTTTTATCTATTTTAAAAATTACTATTTTAAATTCATTTGGTTTTCTAGCCCTAACTAAAGAGGAGAAGCCTAACAATAAGCACATGTGATCGCTGACAGAGAAGAAACCAAAAAGTCATTAAATAAAGATGAAAACTCAAAACCTCCGTATTTGAGTCTAAAGTGCAAGTGCATTATCACTGCATTAAACCGACATTCACTGTGGTAAGCTGAACCAGAAGAGCCTGGATGCTGGGCTCCAGAATCATTAACAGCTGCATTCGGACTCCTCAAATGTACAAAGCCTTACTCAAAGACCTCCTGGAGTCAGCAAGTTGGGAATCTCAAGGAACACAAGCCATTATCTTTCTGCCTTGGCTTAAGGTAGATGTACATGGAATACATTTTAGGTGAAGATAAAAGTTGTGGTGTTTAAGGGAACATTTCAGATGCCAGGAAAAAAAAAAAATTAAGTGGGCTCCACTCCCAGCATGGAGCCCAATATGGGGTTTGAACTCATGACCCTGAGGTCAAGACCTGAGTTGAGATCAAGAGTTGGTTGCTTAACCAACCAACTAAGCCACCCAAGCGCCCCAGAAAATTCATTTCTGTACAATACTTTGTTAATCATGCTCTGAGTAAATGTCTCAGAATCCATTAAAAAGTAGATACTATAGCTGCTGAAGTCAGAATGAGGGCTTGCAAGATTTTGACAAATGAACCATACAATCCTATCTCTATTGGATGACATATTAGATGAATGAGAAACAGTCAACCAAAAACTTCATGTCTGGCAAAACTGCTCAAGAAAGAAGGAGAAATTAAGACATCCTCAATAAATAGAAGTCAAGAGAGTTTATCACTGGTAGAAAAGTAAAAGTGCCCTTCAGAAAAAGCTAAAGGGAGCCCTTCAGGCTGAAATGAAAGAATGTTAAACCATAATTTGAAATCCTATCAAGAAATTAAGAACAAGGGTAATGAAAACTACACAGGTAAATATAAAAGCCAGTATTAACGTATTCTTGGTTGGTAATTCTTTTTTTCCTGTATGATTTAAAAGGCAAATGAATAAAGCAAAAATTATAAAGCAATGTTAATTGGAACAATGAATAAAGATGTAATCTGTGACAATAGCAATATTAAGAAAGGGGGAAAGCAGGGCGCATAGCAGCAGTGTGTGGATGCTATAACACTAAATTGGGATTACTCAAACGAGGTGCTTATAAATTTAAGATAGAAAATGTAATCCCCAAGGTAGCCATGAAGAACAACAAAAATACAGAAATACACAGAATACACACAAAAAAAAAAACAACTATAAAATAAGGCAATGAAAGAGGAACTGAGGAACCAGAAATACACAACACACATCAAAAACAGACAGCTGCGTGGCAGCTCAGTTCCTTATCAGCAACAACTTCAAATGTAAATGATCAAACTCTCCAATTAAACCCCAAAATAGATTTTAAAAATATGATCCATTTGTATGCCGTGAGTAGGAGACTTGCTTAGAAACAAAGACACAAAAGGGTGAAGATAAAAGGATGAAAAAAATTTCCCATGTAAATATTAATGGAGAGAGCTGGGCGGCAAAACTGTTTTAAGAGATGAAAAGGACATTATATACTGATAAAAAGGTCAATCCATCAAGAAGCTGAAAAGTACAACAAAAATGCATCCGGTAAGAGAGCCCCAAAATACATGAAGCCAAAATTGGCACAATGGAAGGGAGAAAGACACAGTTCTACACTCAACAGTTTCAGACTTCAACACTCCATTTCAGTAACAGAGTAAGGAGGCAGAAGATCAACAAGGAAATAGAAGACTTGAAAAGTACTATAAACCAAACTACTCCACCCAATAAAAGCAGAATACACAATCTTCTCCAGTGAACACTGTATGTTCTCCAGGAAGGACAATAAATTAGGCCATAAGAAAAGTCTTAAAAAACTTAGAAAGACTGAACTTACACAAAGTATCCTTTCCCATTACAATGGAATAAAACTGATAATTCATAAGAGAAGGGTCACTGGAAAACTCACAAATATGTGGGAAATTAAACAGCCAACGGGTCAAAAAAGAAATCAAAGGAAAACTGGAAAATACCTATACACAAATGAAAACAAAAATACAACATAACATGGAAGGCAGCAAAAACAGTGCTCAGAGAGAAATTTATAGCTCTAAATGCTTATCTTAAAAAATAATCTTAATTCAATAATAAAACTCTACACCTTAAGGAACCAGAAAAAGAATAGCAAACTAAACTCAAAGCTAGCACAAGGAAGGAAATAAATATTCAAGTGGAAATGAAATACAAACTAGGAAAACAACAGAGAAAGTTAATAAGTACAAAAGCTGACTCCTTGAAACAATCCACAAAATTGCTGAAACTTTAGCCAGATGGACTGAGGAGAAAAAAAAAAAACTCCTCTATTACTAAAATCATAAAATGGAGGAAGAGAAATTTTTACATAATAATTACATAATAATAATAATAACAGGACACCATGAACCAACAAATGGAATAACCGAGATGAAACAAATTCTTGGAAACATACAAACTACCTAAATTGACTCAAAAAGAAACCGCTGTAACAAATAAGGAGACTGAATCAGTAATCAAAAATCTCCCAACACAGAAAGGCCTAGGACCAGATGGCTTTACCCGTGAATTCCATCGAATTTAAAGAATTAACACCAATTATTTTTTTAAAAACTTCCCAAAAAAACTGAAGAGGAGAGAATACTACTGACCTCATTTTATGAGGTCAGCATTACCCCAATACAAGATCCAAAGGCACTACAGACCAATAAATACCTCTACAAATGTATATGTAAATTTAACAAAAAATAATTAAACTGAATTTAGCATTATACTAGAAGGATCATACAACATGACCAACTAGGATTTATCTCTGGATCGCAAGGCTGGTTCAACATAAAAAAAAATCAATCAGGCTAGTATATCACAATAACAAAATGAAGGAAAAAGCCTACATGATGTTATATAAATGAACCAGATATCCCCCGTATATCGACCTCTATGTTGTTTACTTCTTCACAGCAGGCGGAGATGGTTAGCTGAAGCCCAACGATACCAAATCCAATTTTTACACATGCAACTGTTTTAAACATAGCTTAAACAAGCGTATCTTTAGCCATCTAGAGCCTGCTTGATTTGCATACCAGGCAAATCTACACCCAGCATCTGCTACCTATAAAGAAGATAAACCCCAGGACTGTGAGAGACCACACTGCCACTGCACTTCAGACTTCTCTAATCCGAGACTTCCTGTCTGGCTGCTACCACACTACCCGCAAAGAGCTGCTGAAACACAGCTGCCCAAATGAAATGGGCTACTGCCACTTTACGGTCATGTTTTTCCCTCAACAGCCCCCAAATCCTAGAACTCATTACCCTTCACCATCACAATTGATGCACGCACACACACACACATACACACAAAAGCATCTGACAAAATCTGCAGCCGTTCCTGATAAAAAGCAGTAACAGAGCATTCAATAGGCTACGAATAGAAGGGAACTTCTCCAGCACCGTGAAGGGCATCAGTGAGAACCTGCAGTTAGCACCTCTCTCAATAGTGAAAGACCAAAGCCTTTCCCTAAGATCAGGAGCAGGACAAGGATGCCTGCTTCTGTTACTTCTGTTCAACATAATCCTGGAATTCTAGCCAGAGCACTTAGTTATGCAAGGATAAGAAATAAAGGGAATCCAAATTTGGAAAAAGAAGCAGACCTATCTCTACATGCAGATGACGTGATCCTATTATGTAGAAAACTCTAAATAAATATATGTATGTAAACACACACACAAACTGTTAAAACTAATAAATACATTCAGGATATAAAGTCAACACCCAAGAACTGGTTGTATTTCTATACACTAGGCATGA